AGCAACATTCTATAACGGTATAATGTTGTTTGACATTTCAAATCCTTTCGACAGGGAAATTGTTCCAATATTATATGTTTATATGAGTAACGACAATCATCGCTGTCAAATATAATAAATTAAAACCAAAGGGAATTTAAATAATAACGATGGTGTATCGTTTGGCTTTTATGAACGATTTCCACTGTAGTCGTTATTTTTTGTATGAATCGAAGGGAATCTCGTAAAAAATTTTTTCAACAAACATTCATTTTGAATACTTTTGTCATAATCAATGATTGATAATGTAGTAATATCTTTTGAAAACGAATAGAGATTAGCATTCAATAATAGTATATCAAAACAATACTTTTTTTTACTTACGTGCCTAGTTTTTATACAACTGTCGTTAAAATACATTTTTTATAAGGACGATGTGACAAATCAGACAGTATGAACTTGTCTCTTTTTTACCCTCTTCCACAATCTGTGTTCTTTCGATGAATCGTTGATGGTTTCATGAAGAATATAACTGGTTCTACCTAAAATAGAAATCAGAGAAATTGAAATTAATTTTAATAGGATCGTTAGGTAAAATATAAGTATCGAACTAATTGCGCAAGATAACTTAGACTGATATGAATAATTTTTATTTTAGTTGACTTCATTGTATGAATTTATTCAATTTTCCAAAATTATTGATTAAAGATACCAATAATAGAAAAGGAGAACCTATAAAATAAATCGATTAACCGTTACCGAGCATTGATCAATGTGATGGAATAATTGCAGCACACATTCAGACTTCAGTCAGTTCAAGCGATATATTCGATTGTTATTGTTATAAAGTATCGTTATAAACACCATGACTACTTTCAACGTTCTGCTAAAGCCAAAAATTCCTCCTCGTACTATTGTACCCTGGAGCCCCATAGAGAAACTTTCGTAATTACTAAATTTTTAAAATTAACGATGTACAGCATTAATGCTTTTTTATTTTTGTACAAAACCATATTTGAATTTAATATGTATGTAATAATACCCGTATATATAAGGAAAAAAGAATGAATTGAATTTGCATTAAAATTATCATCTTCGAACAATTTACACCAAAACTTCAGCAGTATTAGAAACCGACTGATATAATAATGATGTATCTTATAACTCAACGATATCTTAACACAATACTCCATGTAGAATAACATGACGGCGTTGCGAAATTCATAATAATTTTAGCCTTGGACATTTAGGGGAACAAAATTAGTATTACAGTTGTGAAAGGAATTTTCAAAAGAATACATCGACAACTTATTAAGATCTTGAATTTAAATTTTCTCATTTAAATAACTAGATAATGCAAAAGTGATGGTCGCAGCTTTTCGATATCTTAATAAAAGCCTTTTGTATCCGACATGTCCAAATGAAATGAATTTTTTTGGTGCAGTTAAGAATCGTTTTGTGCATTTTATTTGGCAGGTGGTGGTGACGTTGGTGATTACAACCGCTGGAACTATCAAAACGGCTACGTTAACTCGCCGGCTTGGCACATGCCTTACCGCGTGAACCAGCAGGTGCGTAACGTAATGGTTCACGCAACGCCGGCAAACCTTAAAAACCGCTTCTTACCGCTCGGTACGCCTATCATCTATCCTCGATGAAGAGTCAAAAATTATTGAAAACAGGCACGAACTTAGATATTTTGTCAGTACATCGTTGCGATTATTCGCCTCGACAAATGCCGTTTCCATAGTTAACTATAATCAACTGTTAACGTATTTCTTCAATATTTCGCCCCTCTTTTTTCGTATTGTGTACATGTTACTGTCTTTTTCTTACTATTATCTGGGTATAGTCCAAATATTATGCAACATTTCGTGATTCGTCACATAAATGCATTGTCCGAGCACCATCCTCATCACAATCATTCTGCACTGTATACGTATATTATCTATATATTTAGACATAAATAGACAATTTGCACATTTTACGTTATCAACATCACACTTTTGAAATCACTGAAATGAATTGTAAAGAATCAAAACTCACATTATTCTCGCTAACATTACAATCGCAAGTAGTTTCATTTTTACCCCTTACCCTCATTACATTTTCACTCACAACTTTTCAGCAGCTGACTCAAACAAGTGTTAAAAATAGTCAGTCTCTGATTGTAAAAAAAGTTTAGAGATCAACATTTTTTAAAATTGAGGTGTTGTAAATTGGTTCAAGTTTTGCATAAAATTTATGAATAGATCATTTTCATGCACCCGGGTAAACATTTTCAGGAGTAGTCATTAATTAATTCTCATACAATACATCATCACGTGTAAAAATATCATGCTTCATCAGATTAAAATCCAAATAATTTTTATATTTTTGGGTAAATATACTTGTACAAACTTACATACTTTTTTCGTCATCTTTGAACTTTTCATCAAATTTTGATACCACAATGCCGCCGAAATTTTCTGTGTATTATATTTATACATACTATCTATAACCCTTTTAGTTATTGAGTATGTAGAGTTGAAAATTAATTGTGCCAATGAAAAGATCTTTTGCCCTTGTAACTATCCATATTGTATATTTCAGCTATATTTCAAATATTTGAAAACCCGTGAACCATTACGTAGCGCTCCTTTTACAGAAAAGTACCGTAACTCCTAATATTTTCTTTTTCGTAATTCTGAAAAATTAGGGGTTCGTATTTTTCAATAAATATTGAAAATATACTAATTCATCGTAATCGCCAATCACTGCCACTCGTCATGAATTATTCCTCTTTGTCCAATTCATGACTTTTGGATCACAGCTACGTATTTTCTTGTTTTTAACTGTACTTATTATTTTCTGTAAATTATTACGATACGTGAGATTAAAAAAAAACGTTTTCAAACCACAGCGTGCATTTTAATTATAATTATTAATCTATATCAGGTATTTGAAAGAGTTTTCGATATTAACAATATATTCTCGCACATATTTTTACTCGTTCAAACTTGATCTCAACGATGACCCAAAAATATTTTGAACCATTAAATTTTTGAACGATTTTTAGACGTAGTAAACTATTTACTATGAGCTCAACGATTTACAAATCATAGCTTATGATAAGTTACATAAGAAATTACTTCTTGTGTATTATTCATCTTAAACTACTTATACGCATTACATAAATGTGAGTGACTATGTATTTTCTTGCATGTGAGGCATGATCTACCAAATTGCTATACATTTAGATAACAAGTATTTCTTAGCTAATTATGACGAAGAGGAAACTTTCTTGAAGAAGACTCTTAATGTTACGATATAATCGGTCGCTTTGTATGATAGCAAAACATTTTTCATGGAAATTGTAGATGCTTGTGTATCATCGATATCCAGCGTGAGAATCATCATAAAGTAACCAAGAGTCTTTTATCGATCAAGTTTAATTTATTTGAAGCCATAGGTCAATGGGCGTTCAAAATCATTGACGCTCTCTTGTGGTATTGTACAAGTGACACTTGAAGTTGTAAATACAACAAAATATTGCAAATGGTCATCTTTCAATCCTGGCATCTTCCAAAATGTGCAAGAAAACTTATTCATACAAGGAAACTCGTCGATCTTGTTTGTTCATTGTTCAAAAAACTATCTTTTTATAGATAATAAATTATAAATCAAGATATTCGAAAATTATATAAATGTTAATTTTTAACTTTAATTAATAATATATTTTTTAAAAATTGGTTGATCAATGTTAAGGGATTTTATTGTGAAAAAAGTTGCTTTGTTATTTCAATGTCAAAGTTTTTGTCTATAAAACATTACTTATCCGATATTTTGGGATATTTTAATTACAAGTATACTATCGGCATGATCTTGTTCAAACAGACCAAATCTTAAATGCACGAAGTATAGTTATAAATATGTCAGAAAAAAGGAATTAAAATTTTAAAGTTGAGCAGAAAAAGCTGCAAAATACGAGGCTTGAAATTAGAAAAAAATTTGATAAACATGATAAATGAATAAAATATAGACAGGTATGTTACGCGAACGATATCTTCATTTTCTGAGAATAATTGAATGTATTGAATGTCAGTTTTACTCAGATCAAGAATGTGAATTTATAAGATAACTTTAACAATTAAAAAATCAATGAATTTATATATAACGTAATACTCTTGTTACAACTCTATTATTATATTCGTTGATAAGTTTGTGGTGATTTTCCTGGGCGATCGTTGATTGAAAACAAAAAACTTTATAATAATCAGAAAAAAGGGTATATATAAATGTATGTTATGATAAAATTGAAGGAAAAGAAAATTTCTGAAAAAAAACTAATTTGAGTTTTAGGGAATCTATAATTGTATATTGATCATTGATACATCTACTTCATATACATACTATATATAATATAATAAATTATATACAAAGTCAGTTTGAAAAACTTATTTTATTAAAAAATATTTATGAATCGGTTAGACTTTCAGTTTTATTTGTATTCTCAAATTTTAATTTTTTTCAAATTATACCTACTTTTACCGTACGTAATTTAATAATTGAGTTTTTTACTTTACTATATTTTTGACGATTCCTGTTCCTTCATAATTGCTAATTCGTAATCATCGAACTTTGTTATACAATTATACTTTTTGGAAATGTCGATCATATGGATTTTCAATGCGAGTGAGTAAATCCCGAACATCTCCACTTTATGTCATTTGGTTTTAATTCGTAGCAGTTGTTTTACATGTTCGCATAATTATTTGACGTATATTATTAAATGTAAGATAGATTTTTAGGCGTTTTATGATTTTTTATTATGTTTAGTGAATTCAACAGTAGTCAATGAAGAATTCATACCTAAAGTAGATATTACTATTTTTTTATTTTTTAATAAATTAGAAAACTTTTAAGTTTAAGTCCCTATCTTATATTTAGATACTTTATACAAATCGTGTTATCCCCCGATAGTTTCCCTTTTTCTTAATAATATAAAATACAAAATATCTAACTCCATATTACTTTTACAGCCGATGAAACGGATTTCGATAAGCATGAGAGCAAAATCTTAACCAACGGACATCATTCGACTCCACCGTCATCTCCGATCAAAACTTCAGACCAAAAAAATTCGGTATCGCATTACAGCAAGCCGTTAACTAATGGAAGTTGGAATCGCAGTACCACCAATTCAACAACGTCTTCGGTAGAACGAATCGTTACGGTAACTTCACCGGAAATTCCAATCAAACCTGTGAGAAATGGAAGTATCGTCGGGGCCAGCGTTGAAGACATTGACGTGCGAAAAACAAAGCGTTGGCCTACAGATAAAGCCTACTTTATAGCTAAGGAATTACTTATGACTGAAAGAACTTACAAGAAAGACTTGGAAGTTATTAATGTGGTGAGTGCTCCATTTAAAATAAGAGTCCTGTTCCGTCAAATCGTAGAGGATTCTTTACTCATTGTTTTTCTTTTTGTTTTAGTATTTCCGTGAGGAGCTGTCTAACAGACCCGAAGGCGAAAACGACTGCATCGTCACTCTTCTCGAAAATTTGGCCGATGCTCACGAACCTTATCTGCGCGACATGGAAGAACGAGTTACACGTTGGGAAAGCAACGCGCCTCATAATATCGGCGATTTTCTGGATAATACTCTGAGAGAGATGCTGCCACTATACGATGAATATATTGAAAATCTCTTGACGACTATTGAAAAATTTGAGTACTTCATGAGAGCAGATCGTGAATTTGAACAGTTGTGCAGAGTTTTCGAGGCACAAAAGTACTGCTATCTGCCGCTGACGAATTTTCTAATGAAGCCGCTGCAGAGATTGTTCCATTATAATAGTATTATCGATAGTAAGTGAACTAATATGTCTTGCATGAATATGTCGAATTGCAATTAATTTTTATTCTTCTACCTCCAGGATTAGCTGATTATTATTCAAACGATCACATGGATTACGACTACTGCATGTCAGCAAGAGATCGCTTAAGCGACACATTGCGACGGGCTTTGGATATTCTCAGTGAAGCGGTAATTTTTATTTCTCTTTTTTTTAACAAATTAAACACTGACTCACCAGGTTTTTCTATCTCTTTAGGAAAATAAAGTCCAACTGTGCGAATTACAAAGGGATATAAATGGCTTTGACAGTTTACTCCAAGGCGATCGACGTTTCATTCGACAAGGTTGTTTACAAAAGTACAGTCGCAAAGGCTTTCAACAAAGGATGTTTTTCCTGTTTTCCGACGTTTTACTATACACATTCCGCGTGCCGCAACAATCCACTCAGTGTTTCAAGGTTCATGGTCAAATGGTTTTAACGGACATGAAAATCCAGGAAAATGACAACAAGACTGGAGCTGACTTTGCATTCGTCATTCATTGCCTTGGAAATCAGTAAGGCATTGAGATCAAAACGAGATTAAATTTTTTTTTACACATCTATCTTTTCTCTTGTTACAGGTCTCTTACGGTAGCCGCTAATAGCAAAAAAGAAAAAGAAAGATGGCTGGATGATTTGAATCAGGCGATACTGTTGAACGATTCAAAGGAAAGCTCGTCGCAGTACCATAGTAATCTCAAAACATGCGGTACGACACATAACTTACCTATGTCTAGATGAAAACATAAAATCGTACATTTGATTAATTTGAAAAATTGAATAGTTGCTGGATCCAATGACGAGATGAACGAGCAGGGAGGTACCAGTTGCGATATTGATCGGCACTCCAGCTGTGGCGGTGCAAAGGCTTCGCAAAGAAGCAATACTGCGGTCCATGTGTGTTGGCATCGCAATACCAGTGTTAGTTATAGCGATCAGCTCCGTGCCTTCCATGTAATTTGATTTTTTTCCATTAAATTTATAGCAAACTTCAGCATATTAATAATCATTATATTTATTGTAGAATCAATTAAGTGGATTCTTACTGCGCAAATTCAAAAACAGCAATGGTTGGCAAAAACTCTGGGTAGTCTTTACCAATTTCTGTTTGTTCTTCTACAAATCTCATCAAGATCCATTTCCACTAGCTTGTTTACCCTTGCTGGGTTACGCAGTCTCTCAACCTTCAGAAAAAGATGGAATCAATAAAGACTTCGTTTTCAAATTGCAATTCAAGAATCACGTTTACTTTTTCAGAGCAGAAAGTGACTATACTTTAGGAAGATGGATGGAAGTTGTGCGTAGTGCAACACAAGAAAGTCATATAACGTCCAACTAGTCTCGCTTTAACATTAGCAAAAGCAAATGCAAAAAAACTATATTTGCAAGATTAAGTGTACTCGCAATTCGAAAGTTTCGTTACTTGTTAGTCGTGAATATTTTTTAATGAATTTTCAACGATCACAATGTTTTATAATTAAAATAAAGAACATAGTCAAAAAGGTTTATGGCAAAAATTATATTATTATAATAGAATAGAATATGCAAATAAAATTAGAGACCAATTTGTGCTAATCAAATTAGTACTTCGTTTATATACAATACACGTTTGTATGATATACTTGAATTTATACAAGTTTATTGAATCGTGATCTTAAATTGAAAAATTTTTCACCTTTAAAAAAAATTTGTAAACAAAAAAATGAAAATATTTTATTATTAATAATGTAAGTACAAAGATCACCAAGTGATTAGCTTAACCATTATGTAAAAATAATTGTACATATAATAAATTAACTAAAAATCATTTGCAGCAAAGATTATTGTTCAAAATTTATTTCAAATAAAAATTATGTAATATATTTTCATAACTTTATTAGTTCTATACTTATAAAATAAAAAATTCGGGAAATGCAAAATTTATCCCCACATGTTAAAACATGCCTTGACCTTAAATTTATCTCAAAAATATTTTTGCATCCAGCTCATAAATGGTAAAAACGAATTTAGATAATTCTGGTCTGAAAATGATCTAACCACTTAAAATAAGTGAATATTTTATTTTGATTTTTTTTAAATTCTCACGAGCTTAAAAATAATTTATAAATAATATCTCAATACAAAAAAAATTATACAAGAACTTCTGTGATAGAATTTTATTATTATTTCCTAACAGTATTTAATAATTAAATAAAAAATGCCCATGAAAGACATGTAGAGCTAATTATATAGCATAACGGTTAGATAACTTATAAAAAATCAACAAAAATAGTTAATATTGACACAATTTGGGCCGAAAGAAAAGGTACTTTTCTAGATCAACTGAAAGTCGTAGTATTTTTGTTAAAAACATTTCAGACATACGTGAATAACATAACAAACTTTGTTTTTCAGCAAAACGCTTTTTTATGAAACTTTTCAAAGCAGTAATCTATAAGTAGATTTGATTTTAATTGAAAACGTGCTCCTACATAATTTCATTAAAAACTAAAAAAGAAAAATATTTTTTATCCAAAACGAAGCTGAGTTATTATTCCATGTAGTTTTGCCTAAGTTTTAAAGTCTCGTTAGATAATTTTTCTTGGTTATTAAGTAATTTCAACGATTATAAAGGTAAAAGTAAGAGTTTATGGGAAAAATTTACTAAGAAACATGCTCATTCAAATTGCGTTCTAAATTCTTACAAAGAGGTAACTCCAACCCTAGTCTTCAGATTATTTGATAATTTTTCTGAGATTTTTAGTAACAATAAAAATAGCCCCAAATTTTTCTTTCCTATTAATGATATTAAAAACTATAGTAAAAAATAACATGAACTAATAGTGAGAGAGAATTTTACTAAACAAAAATTGTTACAAATTTATTCACAAGATCATGTGATTAACGTTAAGATGTATTTAAATTTTATATTTTCAACATAAAATTTTCAATATATTTGGAATCTTCATGTTGTGTGTTTTGGTGCTGATTATTGTGTAAGTTTTTTTTCTAATATACTTATGATAATAAAATTTGATGAATATTTTTTAACTTCATGGTATTCTTGATTCAAAAGCAATTGGATAAAAAATGCAAAAAACATTTTATCATTAAAAACATTGTTTTTTTTCAGTGACGAAATATATTTTTTAATCTTAACATACATCGTTTTTGCTACTAACCCAGTATAGTAAGAGAAAGTTTTTTTATCCGACGTAAAAATAAAAAGTACTAGAAATTCATGGAAAATCGACTAATAAATCACTACATTTTGTGGTTTGATTAATTTCATCAACGTTAGCTTATGTTATAGCTTAAAAATATAATTGCACTAATTCAATAAAATATCTCTTTGATAAAATATTTAGTTTAAAAATATTTACAAAAAAAATTAATTCACTTTAGTTAAATGGATTTTCATCCACCATTTTGAAATTATTTATTCAAACCATTTTTCGTGCCAGTTTTGTAACATGTTTATACCAAAATATAGATGTTATTAAAGTAATACCGCTAAAAAAATACGTAAACTCTAGAATACACTTACACGTGCTCTATGTGAATTGACTAATTGATTAAAATTCATGAGAGCGTTTTAAAATACATAAACACTGTAACGTTAATATTGCCAAAAGCCGAAATCACCCACTACTGGATAATTCTCCATACATTTTCGACGAGACTTCTCGGGGAACAAAGAACTTTGTATATAAATCAAAATTAGCATATGAACGTACATAGATTCAATCTTTTTCCTTTTTGGGACTCATAGTTAGGCTTTTAATATGACTAAGATGATATAAGAGATGTTCAATGAACTTCTGCTCCTGCTTGAATTTGCAAACACTAATTTCATATACGTGAATTTTGCGATTTTATTTCATGGTAATCAACCGGTACTTGAAATACGTCATCAATGTGTACAACTGCTAATTGACGATTTTTCTTGGGGACATGTGAAATGCTCTATATTGTACGTAGCATAAAATTACGAAATTAAACGGGGAACTCCACGCACGCACATTTATGATACGTTTGCACGTATAATGTACATACACTATAGTGAATGAACCTTGTAATACTTTATGTATGATAGTTGGCTCGTGCGTCGATGTTTTTTGTTTGAGCATTAACTTGATATTACGTACACATACTGTACCAGTAATGATTATCAATTTGACAACTCGAGTTCCTATGTAAATATTGTTTATTTAGAAATATAGAAAGACAGGAAAGTAATACTTTTCTTCATAGATAAAAGCTTAATAAGAAATTGAAACCATAATGTGACATTAAAATACAGGGGGGNGGGGGGGGGGGGGGGGGGGGTCCATTGGATGAATTTTAAGCAATAATAATTTTCTTTTGTGTACATGGTAAAATGGATGTATCCATAAATATTATATGAGCGAGCGTAAAAAAATTTTCGCGTATAACTAAAAAAAAAGATGAGTTGATGAAAATCTACTCAACCGATATTCTTAAAATTTTTCTCACTGTTTATGTTCATAAAATATAAGGTAATGATTTCAAGTCGAGTTTGTTGCTACATTATCAATTTGAAGTCATAAAAATGAAGGCAAAAAAAGTCATCTCATTTGTTATTATAAAAACTTTAATAATGCAAATAATTAATTTATCTTAACGTCGTTACTTCGTACATTATGCACCTAAATAGATTATAAAATATGAAGAGCATCTAGTAAGATTTGACTTACAGCGGTCACTGGATTTTTTTTCGATTGCGTGAATAAATTTACGGCGGCTAGCTTATTTTTAGTTAGTTTGAACTAAACATTTAACCGAATATTTTAACAGTAAATACTTATTATGTTTATATTTTGTAAATCAATTCGATTTACTACATGTTAAAAAATAACTACTTTTGAAATCCAACTGGGAACCTACCACCCCCCTTAATAGGAGAGGGGAAGGTGATATCTAACAATGCTACGAATACAAAGAACTCTGTAAAAAGAAAAAGTCAAAACACTGCTTTATGATATTCGCCAGTTGTAAAATTAGGACTGCTGGGATAGAATGCTTGAACAAAAATTACATATGGACTATCATAAATCATCAAATGTATGAAATAAAAATAATTCAACACTTTGATTTAAAAAATACAACGTATTGTGTTAGTAAATTAACATTCGCTTGAATTTAGACGCTTCGTACGTCATTTGGTCACGTATACACTTTAATATTCAAAACTTGAAATTTCGTCTCCTTGGATTTTTCCCAAACGTTTTTAAATATCTATATCGTAGAATCGTTATGAAATTGTTATGCGCAAAAGTAATCTCACATGGCATTTCATCTATATAATTAATGAATACGAAAGTATGCGAAAAATCACAGATATATCTTTTTTCGAAAGATTTTGGTGTATCTAAGTTGGGTCATTTTTAGACATTTATATCAGACGGGTGATAATGAAAAAAGTCAAATTCATTTGTTGCAAAGAATACAAATATTTTTTAAAGCTTCTTAATTTTTTTCGTTTATTTTTTCGGACTTGAACATCGTAAAATTTTGCGCGTGAAATACTGATTTGAATATTTTTTTGTATTTGCAAAATAATTAGCTAATCTATGACACATTCCGGCTTTTTTGTTCATTATAACTATGAAGTATGATCTAAAATTAGGATGTTCAAAAATCAGAAATGTATCATTTAGTTTAAGATGTAATGGAAAATGAGCATCTGTCATTGATTATATTAATGCGCAAGTGATATTGAACGACCGATTTGATAGCTCGCTCGAATATCAGTCAAGGGAAGTAGAGCAATGTTTACGTCTCAAGTCAAAACGCATCGATTGAACGTGTAATTTTTCATGCGGCAAAAGCTCAATAAATTAAATTTCGCACAGCAAAAGAATAATCTGCAACGAATGGTAGAAAAACAAATTGCTTTTTTTGTAAACACGCTGTGTTGTCCAAAAATCACTTTCACTCAGTTGACGTGTGAGTGGACAATAGAAATTTGCGTGTCTACCTTTTTCGGGCCAAACAAAGGCCTCATCCCTGCGTACGCAGATGTTAGATACGTGATCGAAAAGCTTGCGCCGACCTTGGGGTAATTCCAAATGGTTGCTTTGTGGTGTCTTTTGGTACAGGCCACATACAAGTATATACATTGTACTATGGAATAGACAGCTGTGTGCTCGAGAAAATCTGAAGCCGCAATGGCTCTGTGTATCGGCTCGGTGGGTTTTTTCGATGGCAAGAAATCAAGGAATCGTGAGTGGGAGATGCGAGCTATAAGTAGCCGGCGTCTCTCGATGATGAGCATCACAAGTCCCTCAGACACCGAACAAACATGGTCCAGTTACGTTTAGTCTTCGGCCTTCTGGCCATTGTTGCTATTGCTCACGGTAAATTATTTACACGACTAAGTCAACTATTTATTTAACACTAGTGATTTTTACAATCAAATTTTAATACACAAGTTATAATACTAGACAGTTTTTACTTCAAAATATTGCACATAATTTAAAATTAATCATCGAGCAAATTTCACGTTACGAAAATATTGAATAAATTTGTTTTGAAATGTTTAGCGTACGTGCCACGTTCGCGCCGTTCAGTAGCTTCAAGCTCGTCTTCGAGCTCGTCGTCGTCCTCGTCGAGTGCGTTCGGCGGTGCAGGCACCCAAACAAATACCAAGACTCATGCCACCGGCGGAGCTGTCGCTAACGCCGATGCCACTGCTCTTGGAAACAGCGGCGTTGTCTACCCCGGTGCCTACCAAGGAGGCCATGGCGGTGGATTCGGTGCTCAGGGTGGCTACGGACACGGAGTCGGCGGACACGGAGTAGGTGGCGGTCTTGGACACGGTGGCTTTGGAGGTGAGTTCTTTTGACTTTTCATCGCAACTTTAAAGTATTTAAAATTAATTGTACGAATAAAAATATGATTGTGTGTAAATTAGGTGCTGGTCTCAGCAACGCCAATGCCAATGCCAATGCCAACGCCGCTGCTGGTGCCGGTGCTGGTGCCGGTGGTTTCGGTGGCAGCCCAGGTGCCTATTACCAACCAGGCTTTGGTGGCGGTAGTCATTACAATGGTGGCCACCTCGGTGGTGGTGCCCTAGGAGGCCCTGCCCTTGGAGGCGCAGGAGCCAACGCTAACGCCAACGCCAACGCCAACGCCAACGCTGGAGCCGGAGCTGGTGGTTTCGGTGGTGGCAACCTTGGTGGCCCAGTAGGTGCCTTCCCAGGAGCCTACGGCCCAGGAGCCGGTGGTGCAGGTTTCGGAGGTCCCGGATTCGGCGGTCCAGGCTTGGGCGGTGCAGGTTTCGGCGGTTCGGGCGCTAACGCCAACGCCAACGCCAACGCCAATGCTGGATCCAGCGGTCTCGGCGGCGGTTTCGCCTACCCCGGTGCCGTGGGTGGTGGCTTCGGCGCTTCCCCCTACAACCAAGGTGGCTTCGGCGGATCTGGTTTCGGAGGCTCGGGCGCCTCTGCCAACGCCAACGCCAACGCCAACGCTAACGCCGGCTCGAGCGGTCTCGGCGGTGGATTCCCAGGCGGATTCGGCGCTTCCCCGTACGGCGCCGGTGGATTCGGTGGATCTGGTTTCAGCGGTGCTTCCGCCAACGCCAATGCCAATGCCAATGCCAATGCCGGTGGATTCGGCAATGGGTCAGTATTCATACACTTGCACGCCTACTAGCTCGTCTTAATTTGAATAGCAAATTTTCAACTCGTGTTCGTTTCTCTGATTTGCATTCAAAATTTGCCAACAGCTTTGCGAGATCGACTCGGTCGATCTTGCCTTGATTTTATTTCAATGCTCATCTTCGTTTTTTAATGTAACGTTGACTCAACCGGTTGTCCTTCGAATTTCTGGATCGAAAATCGCGTCGTAAAACTAGTTGTTAGTATAGTCACAACACTGAGCGAGAAAAAATATCCTTTTTCTATGTTTACGAACACGAGTAGATTGTAAAGCTTCGACTTTTACGCTTACTTAGTATTTATACTTGCTCTAAGAAAAAGAGAGAGAAAAATAATTGTTATAAAAACATGTTTTTTTTACAGAGGAGGATTTTTCTCAAGAATCTCAGATGATGAGACCGATGTCAAGGAATCTGGCTCCACCGACAAAGTTCAAGGCGTCTACAGCAGCAGCAGCTCGAAGGTCGATGAAACCGGTAAAGGCACGTTTGAAGTGTCTGCTGGCAAGATCCCCGCGTAAATAGAAGGAGGAAAAACAGAGCGTTGCGCTTTGCATATCATGTATGCTAAATACTCGTGAAAAATCATGACATAAAAGTTCATTACGGTATATATTTTTTTTTGTGATGAGTGGTCTGTGTATAGTAGTTTTATACATCATTTACAAAAAAGGCTAAATCATATGTTATCATCAACTAGAACCAAAACATTATTCGATAAATTAAAAATTTGGATTCCGTTATAGTCATGAATTGTAGAGTATTATTGAAGAAAGTGTACCCAACGAAAAAAGCTATTATGTAACACATCGTAAATTGTTTATTTTGTTACAACTGATAATTTATATGAAAAATCATGTATTCAAATTATTCATCCATTTTATATTTAAGTCGCATATTGTGATACTAATAAATATCAATATCTTTTAATATTTCTTGTTTTTTTCTGAACATAAAACTCTATTCAATTTATTGAATACAAATCTATAAAGTAAAGATTTAGTTTTTCTGAATATGAATTCAATTTCAATTCGTATATAATATGTTTCATGAATAATTTTTTATTTTTTGATTGATCATCTTTTAAAATTAACAGACTTTTTTTACCAATTTAATTTTCCTCATATGATAAGGAGGAAAAATAAACTAAAAATAATTAAATTTCAAAACTCAGCAATATATACAGAGACTAGATAACTATTTTAAAAGTTCAGTAATAACAAACTGAAGCTAAAGGCTATCGATTAAAATTTCGTTTAGTTATGACTATTCATGTAATACATCAACTAGAAGTTTGAAAACAAACATCAGCTATTCGATTTTGTACTTTTTTAATAGTTACAATTTAGTTAAAAGAAAAAATTATACTATCCTACAGACTTTTTTCTTTCCATAAAACTAGTTTATAATTTTCTTTGTTTTAAGTTTCTAAATTTGTGGACTTTTTCTTGCTTGATTTTTAATAATTTAATGTTCCGCATGGTCAATAAGTTATAAATATCATAATTTCTAAGAAAATTTTAAATTTAATTTTAATAATATTCATTGTACAAAAGTAGAGATATAGATTTGTAGTATTTACATTTTTAACATCCTTGAATAAACGAACTTTGAACATTATCACTGAATGCTCGATAGATATTAAAAATGAGTTATAGTTTTTTAATGTTTTTCATACTGTAATATATATTGTGCAACGTCTATTTTACGAACATAATAGGACTCATCTTTGAACAGAATAGTACATATTTCATAGTTAGTCGGTAAATTTTTATTGGTATTGCTTTACGAAAAATGTGAAAAGGTATCTAAAATTTTATATTTTAAGTAAATTTACAGCCACAGTAAGATTAAAAAACGACTCTACACGGAAATGGTTCACAAAAGACTTGACTATTTGATTAAAATTAAACTTATCATAATCAGATGAATTATTTACAACAATTTTTGTTCAAAGTACTACGTATCACAAATTTACACGATCAATCTTTAAATACAATTTTATCAGTGCTTTCTTCAATGATTTTCGATTTCGTCGTCATTTCATCGCTTTTCAATTCGTTTTCTACCTCGGTTGAATTTTTTTTATCATCATCGTCTTCTCCCACCCTAAATGACCACGGCTGTTGAGCTGAATTGTAATAATTATTATAAGGCATGTGAGGACTAGGATATTGTTGATTAATTCCATTTTGGAAACCACTTCCAGCGTTGGCTGACGAAGATACCGATGAACTTGAACCACCTGCAAATTTTTTTCATTAAAATTTATTCTCTTTACTGTTATTCGATAGTAAGCACAGATAAAAACTGGTTTTATATCTAATTTCATGCCGTTCAGTAATTTAATCGATCTAAGCGCACAGTGTAATTTAACATTGGATTTCCTAGCATCGAACTAATAACAAGTTGGCTAGTTTTCTAATCATATTGAATGTGTTTTTCCAAAGTAAAATATTACGTAAAATATCAAAAATATTTGTTACCATGAGGAGTTGCAACAGCAGATGATGCCGACGCGGACGAAGTTGCTACGGGTATTCCATCAATGATGACGATACCAGCAACTGCTGCAGCAGCCGCCGAACTAGCTACGCCATTGGCATTGATTGACTGACTACCAGAGACGGCGTTGGTCAGGGAGGTGCCATCGCCGAAGGTTTGAGAGTTCGCTTGAGCGTTGGATTGAGATTGACCAAAGCCCGCTACTGGAGCTTGGTGTACTGGATTATAAGGTCCTTGTGCTTGAGTATTGAATGACGATTGATCATAACCCGAAACCGGAGGTGCATGGACTGGATTTTGAGGCACATACATTGACTCCGATGGGTAATGCGCTACTGGAGCATGAGGGTTTAACCTGTTTCATTATGTAACAAAATATTATGCAAAAATTATATTATCATCGACGTCGATTTTTTTGCTCGTTATTAACAACTTTTAATATTAACTATATGGTATTGTACTTTGTTTATGATGTCTCAAACCGACAGTGCACAAAAACTTTTATACATATATAAATTTAAATAAAACTCTGGCTCACCCAATATTATTATTGACAAATCCTCCACCAGATAGACGATCATTATCGATTAAACCATGGCTAGCCGGTTGATGGGGGCTCTGAGGTTGTTGCTGCGGATAATGAGGCAGAGGTCCGTTATTTACTTGAGCATGACTATTAGCATTGCTCGAGGCTACTGCCCCTATTTGATCGGGGAAATAAAAACTACCATCTCCAAATGGATAAGCTAATGAAAAAAAATGTGTACAAAATTAATTCCTTGAAAAATTTTAACGGTCAATATATTCAAATAATAAAAAAAAAAAAACTTACCGTTTGCTGCCGCGAATACACAACTAATAGTCAAAAATACTAGTTTGAACTTCATTTCCACTTTTTTAGTTGCTCAAAAGACTTTTTTTTGTAATGAATAAATTAGACGAATAAAAATATGTTAATATATCCTTACAGTTTTGTTTATATTGTTAAATAGATCGACAATCAAACAAATACATGTGATACATCGATCTGTGCGCAGCGAAGACCGGCCTAGCAATGTGAGACTATCAAGCACTGCTCATCGGTTGAAGAGAGCACATTGGCACCTTTGTACGCGCCTTTCTCCTTCTTTAACGCGCACGCATATGGTGCGATTTTTTGGACACAAGGCCGATATATATGTCTTTGACGTACTTTATATGAGCAGACACCGTTTGAAGACTTGGGATTTCCTAACTTTTTGTACGTAAGAAATAGCAAACAGGATGTGTATTATAGAAAATCTGCAAGGCCTTGAACTTTCATTGTGCTGTCAACGTTCAAAAACATCAAAATGATGAATAATCGTAGCGTAACTGAAATGAATTAGTTTTTAAAGAAATTTGCTCCTTTTCAATCTCTTTGAGAAGCACACACACACAAAGATGCATGTAAGTTATTTTTGATACAAACAAGATTTTGGTCGTTGACCGATGTTATGTAACTTTTATTATTATTATTTTTTTATTTTTTTTTAAGTAGTTTATAAATTATCTTGCCATTGAAATGAAACAACTAAAGTAAATAATTAATATTTTTTATTTATAACATTCATATTTTTTTAAGTACATGAATAAACATCATTATTTATATTAAATTGAATGTTTCAGTAACTAATTCTACACAACTTAACACATTTCAATTGAATAAGATAATTGTTTTATCTTCCAAACCCGCCGTACCCTGAAAGTGAAAAAATAATTAATTCAACAGTTCAATTCTGTTTTTTATTACCAAAATTTATTTACCTCCATTGAATCCTCCATTGCCACGACCATTGTTATAGTTTCCACGCCCGTTGTAACCGCCGCGATTGCCGTAACCTTGACCATAGCCATTGCCATAGCCGTATCCAGGACCACCTCCATTTATATCAATATCTACGTGAAAAAGTTAGAATAAGTTTTTCCATACTGAAATATTTATCAATAGAACTTCTTACCAAATTGGGCTTGAACATTCAATACCACAACAAAAATCATTAAAATAGCAAATAAGAATTTCATTGTAACAATTTATTTTTTCACTTCACACAACAACGAAATCCGAACTACGAACTGCCAACACAATCGAAATACGAACTGTCTACTACTGAGTACACAGTCCAGTCTTATATATGAAATCTTTGGAGACACAAAATGATGATTGATACATAATTATCATCTATACTTCGTTGACAATTGAAATTGCACGAAGATTTCCTTCGTAATTATATGACTCAAAGTAAAAAAGTAAACTACGAACGTATCTTCTCTTATATTCAAGTCGTACCTTTTTGAAAAGGTATAACAAACAATTATTGTTGTAATGAATTAACAAGTGAATAATTACAAGTATTTAAAAATATGTTATGTTTAAGTACATAATATTTTATTTTCATGGATATTCGTAAAAAATTTTTTAATGAAAAAAAAAAAAATAATAACTTGTCAACAACTAATGATTCATTCAAGAGTTTAATATAACGTTTCTATGGATAGTCAATGCTATAAAATTAAAAATTTTAGCTGTATGCCATTGAGAATCATAAGACTAATTTTGAAAACTTACAAACGCACTGACTTCCCGAAATTGATATAATGAGTAGTAAAAAATAACGTATATGAAAATTATTATTAATAATTCATCGAGAAAACATGTGAATAACATTTTCTGATTATATTACTGTTCCAATACTGGTAGTTAATAATTAAATTAAATCAAGGAAGTGATAATTAATGATAATTAAAAATTTGTTGATAATTCGAATAATTTTAAGGAAACTGAAATAAGACAATTCAAATTTATCATCTGCAATTTAAATTTAATGAGTATTATTTGTTTAAAAAACAATAATTTTAAGCATATTACATTACAAATATTTCAGAAAATCTGTATATCTTTTACTTTCCATATTGTTGACGCCCTGCAATGAACATTGTATTAATTTTTTTCCAATTTAGAAGTGGTGAAATATTTTTGTGTCAAATACCTCCGTTAACACCGTAAGGCTCGTGAGTAATTGAACGATTTATAACTCCTAAATCATTAAGATTATTATTGTACCTGCTATGTGCAGGATTAAGTCCGTTCCCGAGATGTCCATTAGCTACACCGTATCCTAAATTTCGACCATAACCAAGGTTATTGTTGTAATCTCGATGATCAATGTTTCTATTGTAACCTAGATTGTTGTGGTAGCCTGAGTTGCTACCCCAACCACCTTGTCCAAGTTGTGCGTTGTGGCCTGGGTTGATACCGTACCCATTATAGCCAAGATTCGTATTATAATGATTATTATTCAAGCCAGAATATCCTAAATGTACATCATGACCGCGATTGCCATTCCATCTACCATGACCAAGATTTGTATTATACTCAGGATGACCACTCCATGCTCCATTTCCGAGGTGGTTAGGATAAGGATTGTTGCCCCAACCACCTTGAACAAAATTTGTATTGTAACCTTGATAACCACCCCATCCAGCGCGTCCAAGATTAGTATTATATCTAGGATTAATGCCTTGACCACTGAGTCCTAAATTATTATTATATCCGGGATTGTTTGGCCATCCGTTATGGCCAAGGTTTGCATTATAACCAGAATTACTATTCCACCCAGCATTTCTAGCATTAATTCCTGGATAGTTTAGAAATAAAAGTATTACTTCAAACAAATACGTGAAACAAAAAAATTTTTTAATGCAAGTTTCATCGTTAGCTTACCCAGTTCAGCTCTACAAACGCTGATGAATGCCAGTACCAAGATAAAAAGAATACTTTCAAATTTCATTCTCACTGTATTAGTTATCACCCAAAAATACAACTTCTTCCTCGCGAATAACGTAAACGATATGGCATTTTTCAAATCGTCTTCTTTTATATAAGTAACATCTTATGCAAATTGCATAAGATAAAAAGAAGCGTTGTTTTTATAAAACTCTTCAATGAAATTCCTAATAATCTGACTATAAAGACGTGAGCCAGGATGATTTTATAGGACTCATGTCGTAAAATATAAGCCTATTATAGAAAACATTTACCTCATTATTCAAACGCATCAGTACTTTGAAAAATTTTTTATGAATAAAGCGTGACGATATAATTAAGAAGAATTTATGACTAGAGCGATTATAGATTGAGCAAACCTTCACTTGGATTAAACAACTGTAATGATCATAATTTCAGACGAAAAAAGGTTTAGTCGTCAAATTTATTCAAATTCTAAAATTTACAAATATACAAAACTCGGATCTATTCGTCATTATCATATAATTTCTTTTATTAATATCTTTCTTTTCGATTAAATTGTCGTTCGTTTTCTTTCATCGGTCTTTCATCTCAGCCGATTATTCGATACATTGCTCTTGTTCAAATCTGCCCAGTGATTCATAAGGATTATCATTTCGAAATTTAAGTGCTGTGAGTACAGCTTGTAACGTGATGAAAGTTAGTATAATTATTTTATTAGTTTTTTAACATTTGTGAAATGTAACAATAATAAACCAGTGCCTAATTTTAAACCAAAATATGATAAAGTGATATTGCCTATTTCTAATTCATGCTGGAGTGTTTGAGCGTCTGAAAGTTACAGCTAGTACATTATGGACTTTTCATTATGGCCGAGTATTTATAATTTAGGCTTTGACTCAAAAAATTTATATTTATAGAAACCTCAAGTATCGTAGATTCACCTGATAATATTCAATTTGCTAGAGTTAATAGTAACAATTTTTCAAATTAGGTTTTTTAAATGGTACCAAATTTCAATGCATTTTGAATACGGACCAAATCGTGTCTTCCCCACCACCCTCTCTGTGCACAGGTCCTAAATCACGCCGTACCATAAAACGCTACTTAACACTTGTATCATATGGTACATTTAGTGTAAAAAATTTAAGTTAAAATATTAAAATTTGCTATCATTATTCAAGTAATTTGTGAATTCCAAGAGCATCAAGTAAATTGTCATTATTATATAATGTATTTTAGCGCAATTTAAACCGTTATATTAAAACCGTTATATCAAAAAAATCAAAGATCTTCAAAATCTCAATGTATCGGTTTTAATGACTTCAATATCACTAATTATGAAGCCCTAATAAATTTCATCTTCTAATATTAATTTTAGAGGTCACTCAACGAGCATTTTGATTTTTCATTTAATTAAAAATAGTATATTTTTCACTCCCTAGGTGCAAAATATACTATTTTTTCTTTTTAATATTCTGTAGCCTAAAACAATCTGAGAATGAAAAAACACGTAATTTAATGCAATCTATGACCTCTTAGAATCCGGCTTCGAAATTGAAGTTAACGCATTATTTTAGAAGTTATAATCAATTTTGTGCCAAAATCGTAGTTTTTGCATGATTCGAGAAAAGTGTATTGGTTTCTTCATGGAAATAGCTTATGTATTACCACCCTTAATTATCTGATAAATGTTTGTCTGACCTTTCTAATGCTATTTTCAAAATTTTAAAGTTTTTCAATTTCGTTAGATACAGCTGTTTTTGCATGATGTGTTGTTGTGGCTCAAAATTCAAAAATTCTATTTTGCTCGAGTTATCAAAAAACACGTTTTTCCTCGCTCTTTTTTACATTTTGAGAAAACTATCGGAGCTACTGAGCCCAGATGATGCATATATCACCTGAAGAAAGTTAGCTACTATTTTTAACATGTAAAATGTAGATGTTTATTATAATCTTCTATAATATAATTTCATCTAAAACGTCATTTGACACTATTTATGGAAAATTTTAAAGAAAAAACTTCAAGAATAAATATAATCATTACTCAATCCAATACTTTTATTCAATTTTCAAACGTTTTTTAAATAGGCATTGTACTAGTTGGCTCATATTGGTACATTTACCTTTCTTTAATTTACAGAACTATATAAACTTTCTTACCTTTCCATAATCAGTATTGATTAAATATTGATTAAATAAATGTTAATCAATAAAAATTAAAGTTGACAGTCAAAAAATTTTGTTCATAGTTTTATTTATTTAGACTCAGTAGTAATTCGTGCTGTAGAAAATAATTCTCTAGCGCTCGTTTTTATATAATTTCCTTCATTACAGATGTAAACGATAGTATACTGATTAAATAATATAAATATTTATGATTAACGTAGTTCTGACCGTGGTACACTTTGTCAGTTAATTTTTATCTCGTAAAAAGTAGACTTGTTGTGCTTAAATTTCTTGTTATTCGACTAAATTTTTGTAAAACTCAAGATAAATAATCATAAATACTCTCGTTAAAAATACAAAAAATGCATCTTTTTTTATTTGTTTAATCATAGAATTCATACCCCTACGGAAATTCATCACCACTTTAATTCTTAAAAACTCTTAAAAGCTCTTTCAAAGTTTGAATAAGTCTTAAAAATTCTTATAAATGTTCGGATTTCGTACCATGATTTTTAACAGTTAATAAAACTTTATAAGAGTTCTATATGATAGAAATAAATTTAAAAAATTTATATGAAACCTGACACCTTTGGTTTCCGAAATATCCAGATGGGTAAGGCAATCGCTTATTTAATTTAAAAAAATGTTTACAAGTGACAATAATTGTTATAAAGAGTTATTAAGAGTTATTAAGTGTTGATAAAAGTTTTCAATATTTTTAAAGACTTCTTTGATCGGTATCCAAGCTCGCCAAAAGTCATGGTGAAAAAACTATACGAGCAACCATATGAACAATATAGAAAAAATAAAATTATGAAAAAAACTTGACATTTTTGCTAAAAAATTGAGTCTCCAAGGTTTTATGAATTTTTAAAAACTCTTTTTAATTCTTTCAAATCATTAATGAGGTGTAGAAGATCTGAACAGTTGTACGACCTTTTAAGACTTTTTTAGACTTTATAAAACTCTCATGAGAAAAATTTCCGTCGGGGTAAGTATACACATTTTGGTATAAAACTCATTATAAATCAAAACCAATTTTTAAACAATTTTTATCGTCCGTAGTACAAAAATAACATAGATAAAGAATAACAACTATTGAACTAATTTTATTTTCACTTAATCGCCACGTGAAAATTCATCATTTTTTATAATTTGTGAATCTTCTATAAATTATAGGCGATGATTGAGTTCGTATTCTTATAACTGGTACACTGGCATTATGATCATCTTCGCAATTGCAAGGCTCCGCGTGACTTTCATGAGGAGACATTTGCAGTGCGGGATTCTTGATAATAAAAGGATTAGATAAAAAAGGACTAAAAGGAGTTCTAATAATTACAGGATTGCTAGGCATAGGTAGAGTTATTGGTGGATGTTGGTGCAGTCTTAATAATAATGGTCCTAAAAACTGAGCTAGAAAGGGATTTCCAGACCATCTAATGACTATTCTTACCGGAATAAATTTAGGACTTTCTCCAGGTTTGAGATCGGGTACACCTGATGGTGGGCCTTGATCATTTTCAGCATTGTTTCCATTGGGATCATTTTCGGTATCATTTTCGTCTGGATTTTTATCACCATTTGACTCGGGTTGATTATCAGGGTCATTTTCTTCGGGATTGTTGTCTGCTCCATTCGGATTGTTGGAAAAATTTGAATCTGGACTAGGATTACGAGGCCTAATCGGTGGACCAAAAGGATTCATTGGGTTTGGAATGCGCGGATATCCTGGAGGTACCAATGGTGGAAACATAGGTGGACGTTGATTAAATGGAAAAATGTTTGGGAATTGAGGAAATGAAGGTGGCCAGTTGGAATTTGGATTTTGGTTCGGCTGATTACCAAAAGGATTATGTGGTGGAGGATTATAGGCACCTTGCCAACCATTATCATCTGGATCAGTAGGATGGTACTGTCCATCGTCGCCAACCTGATCAGGGTTAAAGTTTTCAAATTGATTATTCGGATTTTCGTCTCCGTTTATTCGAGAATCAATATCGATGGGTGATGGTGTTGTAGTTTTCCTGTCGTTCTGAGGTCGTTTCGTAGGTCTTACAGATGGTCGAGTTGGTTTTGATGGTCTATTTCTGGTAGGTTTAGGTGTAGGAGCAGGTGTTGGTTCTGGCTCTTCCTCTGGTGTGTCCTCGGGATCTTCTTCTGCATTTTCATCATCTTCAGGTTCGGGTGTTGTCGTAGTCGTTGTCCTACTTTTATTGGGTGGTCGACGAGTTGGTTTTGATGGTCTATTTCTGGTAGGTTTGGGTGTAGGAGCCGGTGTTGGTTCTGGCTCTTCCTCTGGTGTATCTTCGGGATCTTCTTCTGGATTTTCTTCATCTTCAGGCTCGGGCGTTGTCGTGGTCGTTGTTCTACTTTTATTGGGTGGTCGACGAGTTGGTTTTGATGGTCTACTTCTGGTAGGTTTCGGTGTAGGAGCCGGTGTTGGTTCTGGCTCTTCCTCTGGTGTATCTTCGGGATCTTCTTCTGGATTTTCTTCATCTTCAGGCTCGGGCGTTGTCGTGGTCGTTGTTCTACTTTTATTGGGTGGTCGACGAGTAGGTTTTGATGGTCTACTTCTGGTAGGTTTGGGTGTAGGAGCCGGTGTTGGTTCTGGCTCTTCCTCTGGTGTGTCTTCGGGATCTTCTTCTGGATTTTCTTCATCTTCAGGCTCGGGCGTTGTCGTGGTCGTTGTTTTACTTTTATTGGGTGGTCTTTGAGTCGATTTAGAAGGTTTATTTCTGTTTGGTTTAGGTGTAGGGGCAGGGGTCGGTTCTGACTCTTGTTCTTCTTCTGGAGTTTCTTCAGCATCTTCTTCTGGTTTTTCTTCAGCATTTTCTTCTGGGTTTTCTCCATCTTCAGGTTCAGGCGCTGTCGTGGTCGTTGTCTTACTTTTATTACTTGGTTTTTGAGTTGATTTAGATGGTTTATTATTTTTGTTTGGTTTAGGTGTGGGGGCAGGTGACTGTTCTGACTCTGGTTCTTCTTCTGGAGTTTCTTCAGCATCTTCTTCTGGTTTTTCTTCATCTGCAGGATCGGGCGTTGTCGTGGTCGTTGTCTTACTTTTATTACTTGGTTTTTGAGTTGATTTAGATGGTCTATTGTTTTTATTTGGTTTAGTTGTAGGCGCAGGTGTCGGTTCTTTTTCTGATTCTTCCTCTGGTGTTTCCTCGGGATCTTCTTCTGGCTCTTCATCTTCAGTTTGGGGCTTCATCGTGGTCGTTGCTTTGCTTTTATTTTTGTTAGATTTTGGCGTAGTAGCGGGTGTAGGCTCTGCTTCGTCCTTCGAAAGTTCTGTTTTTTTTTCATCCTCAGGCTCATTATCATCCGTATCTTTATTTTCTCCTGAGGTATTGGACGAATCATCTTTATTTTTTAGTTTATCTTTATCTTTTGAGTTATCTTTTTCTACACCTTCACTATCATTATTAGAATTTTTATTACCTTTTTGATTATCATCGTTTTCAGAAGTGTTTTCATCTTCTTGGTCACCATCTTTAGATTTATCTTCATTTTTCGGATTTTTTTCATTGTCAGAATCGTTTGCACTTTTAGTCATATCTTCAGCTTCTGAATTTTTTTTGCCATTAGTCGTTGGAGTCGTTGAGGTAATTTTACTCTCATCATTTTGTTTTGATTTTTTTCTAGTGGGTTTTGAAGTTGTGGCTGATGTCGTCTTGGTTTCTTGCTCTTCATTTTCTTGTGAATTTTCATTTTCATCGTCATCAGTTTCATCTTTATTTGGGGCTGCTGTTGTTGATCTATTTTTATTTGAAAGTTTTCGAGAAATTCTCGATTGATTGGAAGGAATTTCACGTTTTATTTTCTTCGACATGAAATCAGATCGATCATTAAATAACATCATAGAATCTAAGCTAGAAAGATCTAATAAATCTCGAGGAGCATCTTCAAATGAATCAAGATATTTCCGATCACTAACAGGATCACTATAACTTGAACTGATAAATCGTGCTAAATCAAATAAACCTCCATTTTTTAAAAGTGACGGCGAATTTCTATTTCCCAATGAAAATGCATTTGCCCTCGCTACTCCGTTATTATTGATTGCTGTTGCAGATGCTATTCCTCCCGAGGTCGATATTGAATTGGCTTAAAAATGAATTATGAAATAATTAAATATCATGTCAGTTGCTTTATGCTGTAAATAAAAACTTACCAATAACTACTTTCGAAGTATGCTTTGTTTTTTCTGTAAAATTATATTTAAAATAATTAATTTCCTTTCTAATTTATAAGGAATTTAATAATAGCATTTGAAACGGAAAAGAACTTTGCAAAATTTTTATTTTATGAAAAATAAATTCAGCATAATTATTGAAAATACTTGATTTTCCAGCAGTTTTTAATGTCTAGTCTTTTTCGCAATAGGCAGAATATTTCAATGCAGGATCGTACGAACTTAAAAAATTAAATATTTTCTCATAGTTTATTGGGGTTTGAAATTGCTATAAATAGATATAGTAAACACTCGGATTATGATGTCTGATCCCCGTCTATTTCAGATCACAACACCCTCGATTCGTAATTGAACGAGGAAATTGAAACAAAAATGTAATTTAAAGTTATAATATATGTTTGAATGTAATTTTTCAAAGAAAATTTTGTAACGACTCAATGAATTAATAATGAAACAAAACTATGAAGAGGAACCATGCAAATTTTTTAGCCCGATTCGTTCACGAGAAATCATGCCTACTGCAAAAAAATATCAATAAAAAGAACTGCTGGAAAATCGACAATTTTCAATATTTTTAGATGACATTTTTTTTAAATTTTTCATAATGCTCAACTATTCTATGTGTAAATTTCCAATCAAGTATATTTTTCAAAGACTACCATATAAATTCAATGCTTAAAACAATTTATTTCCGAGTACATGCACTTCAATCGTGTAATAATCATAGTTTCCATCTTCGTTTTGATATTTTATGAATCGGAATATGTATCGATTCCTGAGACGAAAAATAGTACAATTAACGTTTGAATAGATACTATACTCGAAAATTGTATTTAACATTAAAAAAAGTAGAATATTTCTTTTCGAATAATGTAATCTACAAATTATGTGTCGAACAATAAAATATTTGGGATTTCTGTGACAATGAATAGAACATCTTATGGATCTCTTCGACGAAAGTTATGTACATAGCATCTCGAATTTAAAATATAAAACTTCACCATGCTGCTAAGTATCATTTCAAATTAATTGATTTTTCGATCAGACGCAAAATCTAATTCGATACAATACTGTCCCTGCTAATTTAACTGAACGAAAAGAGATATTGTCTCAGAAAACTGAAATAGCCCATTATTAAGGAATTTTTAAAACATCGTAGTTTTTCTAAAAATGTTGAAAAACTTCCACTTCTTTTTACTTCTCGTCTCGAGACATTTATCAAACAGTCATTTTTGTATCACAATATCACTTATAGCACAAAACGTAAAATTTATAATAAAAAATGATGATCACCTGCAGGATAGGCTTGGACATAAATGACATTAGCACTAATAACCAGGGCCAGACAGGCCCTGATTGACAGCTTCATATTTTGCACTTATGCGAAATTGAGTTACACCAAGACGAATATCTTTTACATGAGCAATCGCAACCCGAACTCTCTAAGAATCGTAGTAACATTAATTGAGTGGACTAAACGTAAGCTTTTATACTTGTTGACTCTACAGCAACGCCAATGATGATGAAGTACAGTAACATCAGCAGAAGCTGTGTATCCGTCTTGGCAAGAATAAAAAGATAAGAATCGATTCTTCTCACTGATATTTCAAAACGGCGCAGTTTAAAGAGATTGCATTGATCGATTATAAGAGAAGAGTACTGCATGATTGGGTATGCAAGTGAGATGAGATTCGCTTTTAATATTATAATCGCTTTGAATAATAGAAGTGACGCCATTATTGAATCGATGCCGTTTACCAGCTATTAAGAACCGTGAAAGATTGGAAATTTTGCGTGTTTACGTAGATCAGATAATAGCATCGCAAGGGTATAATGCTATATGTTTTGATATTGAACGATCAGTTCGTATTCAAATAAAAAAAACGAGATTTCATACTTGAAAAAATTTTTTGTTAATATTATCACGAATCGGGAAATATTTAAAACCATCTGGTGATACAGTTCCAGTGATTTTTAATAACCGTTTATCTCATTTTTAGGCCAAATTTCATACATTGAAAATATTAAAGTATTTTCAATGGCAATTGTGCGAAAACTAATTATTTATAAATACTGCACGAGGTGCTATTATGATACAAGTGCGAGAATTATACCTAGGAAACGATTATTTTTCATGCTCACATTTTATTTTAATCGCACACATAAGAAGCGGGTGAATAATACAAGAATTTAAAAAACATTTCTATTGTCGATATTGTATTTGTCATACTTCGACTCAAACAAGTAATAATAATAAAAGGATTAAAAATTGCAGTACGCATCATAGAAATATCAATGCCATTCGATGAGATAATCAATTAAATATGTTGTGCTTACACTATAGCACACAAATGATGAACTTATTTTTATAATGATTAAAATAATATATTTAAAAAGTAAAGTATATTTGATCATGATTTTAAATGTGCAAAATCGATTTTAATAAATGTTTGTTTGATTTGCAATTTTAAGTTCCTAAAATTGAAACTAGTGTTAGTGCATTCATGTGTACGTAATTTTTCTTGGAAATTTTCAAACTTATCTCAGCAGATAATTGAATTTTCTATTCATCAGACCGTTCAGACGCAATATTGTAATTTTATAACTGACTCAGTAACGGGAAAACCAGAAATCACAGTGATATACCTTTCGATTTTTCAAATACAATTTTCTTACTAATAAGGCATCAATTGCACAAAATTGTTTAATCGCTGTTCAAAAGCTGTAGCTTACACATGATGTAACATATTTCTCAACAGTCAGCAAAATGGTCAGAAAAATCATTTAAGAGTTATATAGGATATATTTTGTGTCAACGTTTATTTAGCCAATGAATTTAGAGGAAAGGAAAGGAAAGTTAAAAATGAAAATATAAATATTATTATACATATTTTAAAATATCTTTACTGAGGACTATACTATTTTCCTCAATCGACAATCAGGTAAAATCATGAAAAAATATTCATTTATAATTTTTGACAAATGCTTTAAACCCCTGTTGTTAAAAATTGTTACACTCCCATTTAATAAAGATAAATTATAAAAAATGCAATCGAATTATCATTTTTACATTTCGAATTTTTCAAATTTCTCATCATTTATTGCATTAAAGTGATCCAAGAAAAAAGAGAGAGCTGAAACAATTAATTCGGGTGTAATATTTATTATATTCATTTTGGATTAACTCGGCTCATTCTGTAACTCTTCGTTTTACAGAAATAGCATATCCACACCCGTTGCTCAAAAACGATGGATTTGAGGAAAAAATTTTACTGATGAAAAAGTTATTTGATCAGTTGTAAGAATACATAGTTTTTTTGAGTTGAAAATTCCAGAAATTTCCTTCCATATTACGGTTTGCCAGTCACCATTTTGTATACTTAAAATCCTATTTCACTAATTGGAATCGTCATAACTTTAAGATAAGGTTCTATGGACACTTTATTTGTACCTAAGATACCAGAATTTAAACCATTTTCATGGGAAAATTTGAAAAGAGAAAAAAATATTTTTTTTAAATCACGTTCTGGATAAAACCATCCATAAATTTTGACCTGTTTTTTATGTCGAAAATCTAACACCAGATTCGGAAATTTTATTAAATTTTGCGTAGAATATGCTTACTCACAAGCTCTTCAGACCCCATTTTCAGCAAAAATACAACAGTTTAAATAAATATCAAAAATGTATCCGTCCCGGACTTAATGGGTTAATGCAAAAAAGTAGCCCGAAATATCCCACTTTCTTTTGCATTATTACAAAAGGAGCAACCTTAGAAGAATTATATATTTAAATGTATCTATGATATCGAAAAATTTATTCAATATAGAATAATACAAATAAAAAAATAATATAAAATTTAATTTTTTAGAAGTTATCAGAACTCACCAAAAATTTAAAAAAACAAAGATTTAAATATCGTAAAGCTACGTGCAAAAGTGTCCGGTTATTGGTTGTGAGAAAAATCGCTTCACGCCAATATCTCGCAACAACTACATTCAATGTATTCTCACTAATTTATTTATATAACCCTTGGTACAATGAAAAATAGACTCGTGGTATGGTAATAAATTCGAGTGTATCATCTGAATAATTTTAAAAGATGTTCAAACGTTTCTACAACTAGAATAGAAGATCATAACACCATATAACATAATAAAAACATTGCAAAAAATAAAATCGATAATTCGTTGAAACGCGAAAGTTTCTCAAAAAAAGTGTACTTATATTTTTTCATTGAGTTATGTTTCATTGAGTTAAGCAGTTTTCAATATATTAAGCCCATCATTACAATGAAAAATTATTATCGATTTTGAAAAGCATGCGACGTAACACGTTTATAATTTCAAAATAGGACCCGCAGTGCTTCCAAAAACAGCACCCACAGTAAACGCGAAATTCAAATTTTTGTAAAAATTTAAAATATCTCCCACCACTCTAATATTGTGTCGTCAATAATGTTTTTATTTTAATAAATACGAAAAAAATAATATTTGAATTTCGCGCTCACTGTGAAGGCTATTTTTGAGAGCACTCTGTTATGTAGGCAGTGGGCTGTGGGACCCACAACTTTCAACTGGCCCATGCGTAAAACCTTAATAGCGCATTTAGGCTTGTTTACTTTCATAATATAATTCTACGTCACGAGACCACTACAGTGCTATTAGCTTTAATCAGTTCGTTACACTAATACACTGTGCGACGAACACACTAAACTCCGAAACTCGGGCACGGCGTGGGTTGATCTACCAACAGACGCGATCCTCTCAGTAGGTTGATCTGACTCTTGGTGCATCTGTTTTTTATTATTGTAATGACTCATTTTAAAAAATACATAATTTTCATAATTCAGTTTATATAATTCACTATGTACCGTGTACTTAATATGTATTATTGAAGATTAGTTTGCTAGGCTGATTTGAGGTTAGAATCGTCAGAAGGCGGGATTGAAAAAATACATTATAGTTCTTATTAACGTCTGTTCTGTCTATTTAAACTAAATTTTACTGAATGTTAAGTCCTTCGTGCACACTTGTTTTTTTCAAGCTCATAAAGATCAACACTTAAGCAATTACTCTTATTCACGCGGCATTTGGAACTCTAATTTTCTTCATTATGTGATCATTTTATTTTCATTTAATCATAATTTAACAATACTTTACGTCAAAAAAAATGAATAACAACTTGTTTCTATCTATCATGAGCACAGTACTTAGTGAAAACAAAAGTTATTATTACTTCGACTGAACTCAATGAAAATATGTTTGAGAGGTATATGTGGCATAATTTAATTATTTTCTTCAATTTTAGCTATAGAATAATTCATCATAATGGCAGATTCTGATGATGAATACGATAGGAAAAGAAGAGACAAATTCAGAGGAGAAAGAACTGAATCTTATAGAGAAGGTCGTGGCAGAGAAGACAGAAGAAGAGGCGGAGATGACTGGTCTGACAGGTAAATAAATACACATATTTTATGTTCATTTCATCTTACTTATTATTGTTCAAATTCAAAGATTAGCCAACGATAACTAAATCTTCAAAATAATATTTTCATACTTACTTGTAACCTAATTTCTCTTAATATCTTGAAAAATGAGCAACTTTATTAACATATCCAGAGAATGGTCTAGCCGTCCTCGAGCAAGACCTGATTACAGAGATTACAGAGGGGGTGGAAGAGATCGTTACAGTCCAGCCCGATCTCAAGATATGGCACCACCTATGAAAAGAATGAGAACAGCTGAATGGGATGACCGGCCCAGTAGAGCTGCATATGGTGATTACTATGGTCGTGATACAGATGGACTTCCTCCCTCTCGCGGTGGTGCTTGGCCTCCTGAGCATTATAACCATGGTAACCATCACTATAGTAACCATGGCAACAATACCAAGTGAGTATCTTTAAAATAGTGAGTAGTTAGAGAACAGTTTAAAACTTTTAGTTTGTGTACAAATACTATCTATAATTACCAGTATAATAGTTGATTCTTAAAACTTGAAGAAAAATTATACTCTGTGTAAAAAGAACTTCTAATGATTAGAAAAAATAATATCTGTTGAATGTTTCAATTATAAATAGAGGTTATACTTTTTTTAACTAACCTCTTTTTTATCTCAATATCAGCTATTCAAAATAAATTTTGTTAAGTTTCAAATAAAAAATGAATTATGTAAGACCATACTGTTGGAGAATGACAAAAAAAAAATTAACTCCAAAGTTATTAGCTCAATTAAGGTATTTCAGAAATAGTCAACAATAATTATTTTAATGAAATTATTAATGTAATAAAATTGTTTTCAGTCGAGAAACTCCAACTAATTTTAACAACTCCAATGTTGAAACTCAACCACCAATGTTGACTTTCAAGGCATTCCTTGTGACACAGGATGATACTATCACAGATGAAGAGGCAATCAAGCTCTATAATGAGTATAAAATGGAATTTAAAAGGCTACAACTCAACGAGTTCTTTGTAGCTCATAAAGATGAAGAATGGTAAGTCAACAATTTATTGAACATTTTCATCTTAGTTTTTTCTGAAACATAGTTTTTATTCCATACTACTCCATTTAAATTTAATTTTTTTCTTCTTCATGCATTTATATTTTTATACAATTTAGTAAACAATTTTTCCAGTTTTAAATAGCATTTGCATTACTAAAAAATTAAATTTCAAATTGTTCTCAGCAGTATTCCCGAGCACATTTCAATATTAATAGATGAAAATTTTTTTGCAATTATGTAACATAATTTTTTCCTAAAAATTTTTTATCAATACTTCAAAAACATTATCAACTTCCATCGAAAATTAACAGTCATTGCTGAGAAAAATATTGATATTTTGATTTTAATATTTGTCACAAAGCCAATTTTTTCAAAAAAAAATTTGATCAACTGCAACAATTCTATCTTACTGAATATTTATTAAAAATAAGGATACAAAAAACTATCAATATAAAAAAATGTTAACAACAATCAGTGTACAGATATGTATCTGTCTCTTAATCTCTACAGCAAACAGTCAACGTCCTGCTTCGTCGATTATAAACTAAAAACATGCGCGACTGCGAAGAACGAGTTGCGATTGCCATGTACCCTCCGAACTTAGCTTAGATTACGTTATCAGCTCAACATGAAATTTTTGAAACATGGAAAACATGAAATCAAAATAACGTCGTGGGCGCGCAAAGCCTACTAGACGTTCGCGTGATAGGTCGCGTTCTTAACCCGTAAACAAGCTAGGGAAAACTTAAAACTCGCGTTTTTCCTCCCTCTCATGCCTGCATGTCTTTTACTGACATGCTGATGACAATGATGACCTTTGAAATAATTTTTAAGGCATCAAACTGTGATGAAAGCATGCATGTTGCTACAGGTGAGGATCCACTTAAAAATGGATCGTGTTTCATCTCCATACTTTATTTTTATATATAACATAGAAATTAGTTAAAACTTGATAAAACATTTGAAAAATTACAAACCACGATTTACCTATAGTTTTTTTGCATTTTTTATATAAATTTAATTTTAAATCATGAGTGAATTTTCAAGGAAAAAATTTTTATTTTTATTTTTCAATGACATTTTGAAATATCAAATAAGACTATATTTTGTTCAATTTTAAAATTCTAAAGAGATTAAATGATTTATTATTAATCTCTTATAGACTTATCAAATATCTAAATGTTGTACTTCACTTAACCTGTATCAGCTAATAAATGATGTTTTTTTTTGCATTAAATAATAAACATTATTTTTTTTAAATTAGGTTCAAAATCAAATATCATCCAGAAGAATCTGTTAAAAGAAAAGAAGAGCAGTTTGCAGCTTTAATGGTAATTTTTTCAATTGCCAAAATATGAAGTAAAAAATCAAAATTATATTTCTATTCCTTTGTTTAGAAACGAGTTGAAGTTTTCATTGATCTACTAGAAAAAGGTGAGATCGATAAAGTCTCAGTTGATGGTGATCAAGCTGATGCACTTTTGCGTTTACTGGATGCTGTGGTGATTAAACTTGAAGGCGGTACTGATGAAGATCTGAAAATACTTGATGTCAAACCACAACCAGTTGTCAAAGAAGTAAAAGATGTACCTAAAGATGTTGCTGTTAAAAAAGAAAAAGATGAACCAGAAATTAAAGTCAAAGTTGAAAAGGAAGAACCTACTGAAAGTACTGAAAAAATCATCGAAGAAAGTAAAAGTGAGACAGTTTCTGAAGATAAACAAAACGGCGATTTTGAAGTAGAAAATGTTGCAAAGGAAAGTGATAGCACGAATAATGAAAATCCTGAGAAAGAAACAGTTGCAGAAGCCATGGAAACTGATGCATCTGATCCAGCTGAGAAAAATAATGATGAAAAAACTACTGATGATGTGAATAAAGAGACCACTGAAGAGGAAAATTCAAAAAAAAGAAAAAGAACTGATAGTAATAGTAGCAGCAGCAGTAGCAGCAGTGATAGCTCATCAGACAGTAATGCATGTAGTAAAAGCCCTGGTACGCCTCCTGGTCTTCCACGTAAGTTTGCCATTCTTTTGATAAAAAAAGAACTACTAAAATTTAATTTATCATTAATTACATATTTACAGCTAAAGTTCAATCTGAATCTGGTGAAGTAGATGAAACAAAAGAGACAAAGTCCGATGAAGCTACGGAAAATAAAACGGTAGAAGAAGAGGAAGAAAAAGAAAAGTCACCAGCACCTGAAGAGAGACCTAAGAAGAAGTCCAATGCTATAATTGATCTTGCTACTGATAAAGAAATGAAAGCTTTACACAAAACCAGTAGTATTTTTCTTAGAAATTTAGCTCCTACTATAACTAAAGCTGAAGTAGAAGCTGTAAGTATTAAATTAATGTATTAATTTTAGATCTATTATTTTATTATCATTATCATTTTAATTTTAGATGTGCAAAAGATACCATGGATTCTTGAGAGTAGCAATCGCAGATCCGCAGCCTGAAAGGCGATGGTTCCGTAGAGGATGGGTATCTTTTGAACGCAATGTTAACATTAAAGAATACTGTTGGAACTTAAATAATATAAGATTAAGAGATTGTGAACTTGGAGCTATTGTTAATCGGGATTTATCTCGTCGCATACGAAGCGTGAATGGCATAACGCTTCATAAACAAGTGGTTAGAAATGACATAAAGTTGAGCGCTAAAATAGTCCACAATTTGGATAACCGTGTAGGTTTATGGTTTGAAAAAAAAGAAGAAAATATTGATGGACAAAACAAAACTGCTGAAGAAATTGAACAAGCTGTAAGAATAAAATATTCTCGAATTTATTTTTCATTACTTATATGTATACAGGCATTTTTTAAACACATAATTTTATTTATCTTAGGCATTTGGATTGTCATCCAAAAATCCAGTTCTTAAGAATATTACCGATTATTTAATCGAGGAAGCTTCAGCTGAAGAAGAAGAACTTCTTGGTGTTTCCGGAGATCAAGAAGAGGGTCAATTATCGGGAGATGCTGAGGAGAAAATCGAAAAGGACCCCGCTTTATTGAAAGTCAGTACACGATCTAAACATAAATTTGATAGAATAAAATTCTAAAGATTAAAATTTAAAATTATGTTCATTTTCAGGTGTTGGATAGATTAATTCTATATCTTCGTATTGTTCATTCAGTAGATTATTACAACCACTGTGAATATCCGAATGAAGATGAAATGCCAAACCGATGTGGAATCATGCATGTCAGAGGACCTACTCCTGGTAACAAAGTGATCAGTAATGAAATAATGGAATACACTAAGAACTTCGAACAAAAAATGGCAGCTTTCCTTGCCCCTGTTGCAACAGTACCTGCAGCTGAATATGACAAATTAGGTGCCAAAAATCCTGACCGAGAAGTTGAAAAATTCATAGAAGCTAATACTCAAGAAATATCAAAGGAAAAATGGCTTTGCCCTTTGAGTGGCAAAAAATTCAAAGGTCCTGATTATATTCGCAAACATATCTTCAACAAACATGCTGAAAAAGTATCAGAAGTCAAAGCTGAAGCTGAATACTTTAATAATTACTTAAAAGATCCTAAAAGACCACAACTTCCTGAGCATCCTGGTAATAAGGCTCCCCCGCGTGAAGCTCAGAGAGAACCTGGTTTTCCTCAATTTAATGCAACTGCGTAAGTATTTAATAAGTTTTCCCACTTTTCAATAGATTGATTTTTGTATCTTATACTCAATTGTGTGTAATTGCATGTATCGTAGATACATTTTGAGCACGCACATTTCCTCTTACAGGGACTGAAAACGTGTATCGAAATGTCTTTTGGTGTTAACTTAGTTGGATTAAATTAGTTTATTTTTGCTTTGATATTCAATCAGTTATTATTATTACTATTATTTTTATTATTGTCACTGATAAAGAGAAGAGTAGATCAATTAATTTATGCAATCATGTAGTATAGATATTTCACTTCAATTTTAAAATAACTTGTATAGCACCATGTAACATTCTATCTGCGTTTGCTTTTATTCGTACTGATTCAGTCCCTGTTAAGAAAAAATATTTGTACTATTTATTCAAGCCCCCGGCATGCTGGTAGATTCGCAGGCAACTTCGGCGGTAATTTCGGTGGCAACCGAGGAAGTCCAGGCGGAGGATTTGGAGCTGGAAATTTTGGATCAGGCGGAGGTTTTGGAGGTAGCGGTTTTGGGTCAGGACCTAGATCAAATCGCGGAGGAAACTTCAGAGGCCGGTAAGAATAACTTTATATTTTGGAGAATACGTTAATTCAGAGAAGCTCTAGAATTAAATTTTTAAAGATTTTTTTATACTAGCAAAAGTTACTAATATATTTTCAGGGCTGATTCTGATTTGGCGTCCCGACCTATTATTAGTTATAATGATTTGGACCAGCTGGATACGGATTTATTTTAAAAAATATTACAATAGTTTTGACAATTCTTTAAGAAAAAATAAGTAGTATTATTCATTGCTTTTTTTGAAGTTCTTAAAATTGACAACAATTTGTACCAATCGTAGCTTTTATTTATCCAATGATTTTGACTAATTATGTAAGTACGATTTCTACCAAACGTTATTGAATACTCAACGTTTAAATGTAAAAAGGTGTAAAAAGTTTTCTAGGATTTTTTAGAGATATATATTTACTTTACTTCCATTTGAAAAAAATGATAAGAGTAGCATCATTACTGAAATATTTCGTTAAGTAATATCTGAAAAAAGAATAAATACTAAAGTAATCATAATATGTGATTTTTTTTCATTCTAAACCTATATACAATTTGTCCAGTTGGTCAAAAAACATATATCTAATATTTAATCATGAAAATGACAACACAGTTTCTTATGAATCCAATTTTTTCGTTGTTAAATAGCGGAAGTGGTGTTTTCAGGCCTGTGATCCACTACCGAGACCTCGATGCTCCAAGAGAGCCTGACGAATTTTTGTAAATAAGTACGTGACAATAAATGAGTTCAAAAACATTTGAAAGAATAATATATTGAATTCAAAATGGCCAAAGTCACGGTTCCGAAATCATCTTCTTAACCAATAGCTCGCTTAAAAAAATTGATTTATATTTAACGCTTCATTTTTTAAATAAAAATAGCGAAAATGAATTTTTGGAAAATAAGTTAAGTTATTAACTTAAATTATATTATATTTATATATAAGAAAATGTCAACGTTATGATAATTTTATCAAAAATTAGCTCGAATGTTGAATATACATGACCTGAATTAATTTAAACATGATTGAAAAAATGAGTTTTGACATAAAGCGACTGGTTAATATTTATTCTGTAGACACATATAATTCGCAAAAGGTGTATATATCCAATTTAAAAAGAAAATTGTAGCTTTTTCAATAAATAAGTTTAAAAATTATAAATTATCATTTTTTTATTTCACTATTATTTTTACGTTCTTATATACAACTATATTATATTCAGTACGATATCATACATTGCGTAAAAAAACAAGTTCATGTACACGACACAATGACGTAATTTGTCATAAATGCATCATTAAATGTATGAGAATATCACTATTATAATAACAAGTATGATAAAACAATATTTCAAACGAGGAATCACACTTTCTTATTTCATACCTGAACGTTCTTATTTTATAAAAATATAATTCGTTATTATTATCGCATCACATAATATATTTACAGTTTATCAATCAACAAATCCTATTTATAGTATACAAAAATACTGAAATCGAAAATTTTCACACCAAGTCACGTTCAACGATGACGCAAACTTGGATGTTCACTTTCACAAAAAAACTAAAATATTTATTTACATTTTAACATTTTTTATCTAAAATAGTTACATTATAGAGTCACTTTGTAAATTCCTATGATTTAACTTTACGACCGATGTTCTCTGCAATGCTGTTCGTCACTACCGTCACCGCAGTCATCTATGCCGTTACATCGATCATCTTTTTTTATACATCTGGCATTGCTGCAAATACAAAAATACATGGTTAAATTTAATGTCAAAACGATAATTTGTTAGGCAACACTTTATTAAATCTATGCTTTGGAAGTTGTATTTAAGTTGCATATTCTATTCATTTTTTAAAGAACAATTTTTAAGTTAATAAAAAAATTCGTATTATATTGATAATGTAAAAAAAAAGTAATAATATTATTTATAGAACCATTAACGATTTTCGAAATAAAGATCAAAATTAATGTAGTGCAATCTATAATTGTCCAACTAAGCAAAGTAAATGCACATTCTAGCGAAATATCAATCTCTCAAAAGCGATGACTTCAATTTTACCCCAAAATTTCCCCTGTTCTATGGAACATCTTATAAGAAATTGTTTTCATTTTTATCTCTTTTCGGTCTTTTTAATAATTGATTTAATTTGAAAAAAAATAATCGAGAGTATATAATCATTGTTTCATAGCTGCTAATCCGTTTAATAATTGCATCTACTTTGAAACAATTACGTGTACTAACGAAATAACAAGTTCAAGTAGTATATTCCATTTTATCTATCATCGCTAACTCGTTTTTTTATACATAGCTTCGGAAATACAAGCGTGTAAGTGTAGACCCACAAGCATATGATGATTCTCTATTCATTTACATAAATAATGTATAAATGTACATGCGTACACATACATTCACATATCTTACGAGCACTTAATCCCTTTAGGCGACAGTAAGTAAATTACACAGTTTCTCAGATGGGTGTATATTCCAGTGCTTTTCTATTAATTTCTTACTTATGAAGTGCAAGAAGGTGAACAATTTTTGCCAGGCAAAATGATTGACGCACGTTTACGAATCTTGTTTTTACGCTTGCCCGCACTCGGGAAAGCATTCAAACGGCCCGGGAATAAATGCCCTGAATCGTTTCGCATTACGCGACCTGCGGTAGTATGTTAATTTTGTTTCCTTTTAAATTTTTTTTCAAACTAGATTGCACTTGGAGCAAAATTTTCTCGTGATAACCCTGCCTCACAATTCAATTTCAAATTAATTAATTAAAAAAGAAGCAATTTTTTTATTTATATCACTAATACCATCCCGTTAATTGTTAATTACCGTTGCACGAATATACGTTATGAGGCTTTTCCTGAACGGATTAATTATTCATATAAATGACTGCAAGCACGCGATCCCGCACGTGCGACAAAAAAAAATATCTGGAAAAACTAGTTATGTTTATCAACTAAGTTTGTACCCACCGGCAAGCAAACTCGTATTTATTGCAACGATGCTGGCATGGATGAGGTTCGTCAGACCCATCGCTGCAATCGACATATCCATCACAGAAGCGATTGCCTCTTATGCACTTTTCTTTGTTCCAACATTGGAAATCATCTTTATGTGGGCAAGCTGTGAACATGGTAAAAGAAAAATAATGTTAGAATTAATGGTTGCGGAAAAATTTTTTGTGCGAAATTTGCGTGTTTTCAGCTTACATTCATGACCTGCAACAAAATTGAGAAGAAAAAAATAATTTAAAATCGTTTGTCCCAGATAACGTAATTAAAATAAAGAAGAGTTCATGAAACTTACTAGATGTACAGTTCATCTCATCCGACGCATCAAAACAATCAACTTGTCCATCGCATTTCTTTTTTAGAGGTAGGCAAGATGTTTGGTTTCCACAGTGAAAGTGAGTCTCCAAATTACATTCTTGAAGTAAAGAAAATTATTATAATTTAAAATTGTTACACTATACGCGGATGCATTTTAAAAAGGTAATCCTAAAGACTTAGTAAGCACATTCAATCTTAATCGCAATTAATTAATCGAGTTAATATATTTTAAGAGGCAGTAGGCTCAATCAATCATTTGAAATTTACGAAGCGAAGTAAGAGGTAAAAAAGCGCCGTGAAGGAATTCGAACCGTGCAAATACGAGCATTGATACGCAAGGATTAATTGCATTCTCACGAGCGATTCATAAAAAAGAGTAGCCAAGCGAGGAAGGCAACACGAGTGCTTTTTGTTTAAAGGTGAATAATTATTGGCAAGATGTAGAGAAAGTGCCAACTTACCACAATTATACTCGTCCGAATGGTCGTAACAATTCATTTGGCCGTCGCAGCGCTTGACCAAGGGTATGCAAAGAGAATTATTGCACGTCCATTCGTCTTCTAGGCAGTGATGCTCGAGATCTATGCACCTGTTTAAAGAGAAAATTGAAATATCATCTTATTAGCGCATGTGTCAGATGTTGCATAAGTTGAAAAATAGCAGTACCAGAACAAAAATGTAGAGGCAATAATAGATAGGTCGTTTAGAATTTTGATCCAGGTTTTTTCGTTCTTACCTGTAGGCATCCTTTGCGAGTTTGTGACATTTGTGGGTTCTAAGATTACACACGCCAGAGCAGGCGTCCAATGTGCTGTTGGCATGAATTTTTAAGTGACAATAAGGTTGCTCATTGGGCTCCTTGGCGACGCAAACCTCATCGTCGAGACAATCTGCGCACGACCTGCGTGGCTTTCTTGTACGATAGTGTTGCTTCATCGTAAATTTTTTCAATGACGTCATTCCATCGGTGGACGATAAACTGTTAATTTCATAATGTAAAATTAATAATCATAACTAACGACATAATTGAGAATTATTTATAAACGATAAGCATCGATTCGACTTACATAGTCGTCGTTCTAGGTCTTTCCGTTGTAGTGGTTGTAGTAGTAGTAGTCGTCGTTGTTGTGGTGGTCGTAGTGGCCAAAGTCGTAGTAGTTGGAGTGGTCGTCCTTACAACGGGCTTTCTTGTCGTAGTGCTCGTAGGAATAAAAACTGGCTCGAGCTCTACACCAGGCACATTATTATCGAATATGATGGGAGGCTGAACAGCTGGATACGACGAAGACGAGGAGCTCGCACCGAAGCCGATAACGTCGAAAATCACCGGTGACGTCGCGGGCTGCGAAGTTGACGAAAAAATTGCTTGGTCTAGGTAGGTCGAGTTCGTAATTTGACTGCTGTTGATACTGTTGCTGTTGTTAGCGCCACTGGAGCGCAAATACTGTTGGATCACTTGCAGCTTGTCGGGTTCTGTGGACATATTCATAATCATCATGAGATCCGCATTCCAAGCAGGAAGAATTCCATTCCCAACGTCTCATTTAACCGCAATGATCGTCACCCTTTTCGAAATGAAGTCGATTCCTTCATCCTGGCCAGCCGATCCATTATTATTGATAATGAAAAAAGCCTCCGTGTCGAATCTGCACTTCCCTTACGTGCGCGCGCGCGTGAGTTCGTAGGGGGAAAAAACGAAGAAAAAAATCCGTGGCGGTAGAGTTCAAGGAAGCGAGAGAAAATTATTCGTCGAAAGAACAAACATTGTACGCCACGCTGGGCGCGAAGCTATGCAGAAGGATACGCTAGTTTTTACGCTTGAAAAGGTGACGCGAAGCGTAACGATCGATCAATCGAATTTTGTAATTGAATCGCGAATACCCTGCACATACCGCTTGGACTTATCAATTTATTTGTGCACCTATACTTGGCCGCGCGAAGAGCATCATTTTTTGCACGGAAAACGAATACTACAGCTCGTACATAAAGTTCCAACTATACGTATACATAATAAATACATTTACATACTCGTACGATGATTTTATGATTTTCACGACGACATATGCAAACATAAAAATGAAAAAATGCCAATTAATTTTACTGCAAATTGATCTTCCACTACAAGTTGCTAGTGCGAATAGCAGTAAGTATAAAGAGACTCGAGCGACGATTTTTCAAAGATCGATTGTTAGCGACGCGTGAATGACTCATAAACTCTACAGTCGACACTACATATATTTCAAATTCAATTTAAAAAATATTTTATTTTTGCTTTTTCTTCTTTCTGCGTCGACGACGAGCTCCTTATAGATTATCATTCCAGAGTTAATATATCGCGCAAATAATACTACATTTCAATGCAGCTTCTTATGCATGATATACAAGGACGGGTGTTGCCGCTCTTTCGCATACAAATCGATTACGATCGCGACGTTAAGACCTCAACTGTCGTTTCAGGTCTCTTGATAGGATTACACTTTTTATTTCGTACTCTCTCGGGGGTTTCTGTTAGTCGCTGCATGAGAGTAATGCAAACTTACCGAATACTATGTACAGAGCAATGCCACCGATGCCGAGCAACGCCAGCATCAGTACCAATAATAGAGCCAAGGACTTAGTGCAGCGGGTGCCATCGACGAAGGGCCGGCCAAACTGCAACATCCAGCCGTTTCGCAACTTTCGTAGTCGTGGTCGAGACGAGCTGCTGGACTCGTCGTGGCTCTGCTGGTTTCGATTGGCGGTCGTCGACGAGGAGGACGATGAGTATACTCGCTGCAACAAAAAAGTAAAAAGCCACAAGTGTCATTAGTGCACATTTTCCTGGAAATTGTCATACGCGATGACAGGCCTATCAATCTTTTGGAAGAAAAATAAGGATAATCGTCGTAAAAAGGGGGAATGCAATTTGAAAATAATGATTTTCGCATACGTATATGTAAGTCTCTTTCCGGTATAGGGCATTTATTGTAATATCACGCGATGAATTCCTCTCGACGAATTTTCCTCGAGCTTCGTGACAGGATGGATTAGTTCTCTGTTCGCATTTTTGCTTCATTTTAATACGTGTTCGTGTATAACGTTTACAATAATGATTGTTCGATCGACTTGTAATCGACAACGTAGTGCCATTCATCAACTCTTAGACAGGTATATATATATTGTAAACAGCATAGAAAGACTACACTCGGAGTAGTAACTGCTTCGGCTCACGATCTGCTGCTTTCGACTCGGCTGCAGTCTGCGGCTGCACACTGCCGAGTCTTAAAAACTGGAACAAAACGAACTTTCGCAACCGCTGTTCAGGCATTTTACGTAAGAAACCTGTTGCACTGCACGAATTTTCGGTATTATATTATTTCTCAAAGATACGAGAATCGCGTGATGATACTCGCTTGAATATTTGACATTTTTGGCCTAATTACGCAACCATATGATATTCCGATCGAGATAGCGCACATACGAGTCAACTTATCATGTCGCGTATCCTTTGGATAAACACTACGTGTGAATGTTTTTTTTTGTATTTATTTATTTTTCATTCGAGCATCGAATAATTTACAATTCTAAACGAATAAAAAAGGATCTATGATTTCACATCCGCGATAGTGTATGCATTTAGTTTTTCACTCGCAATATTATCTAAAATGATTAATCTATATATTATGCGCACGCGCAACGATGAATTGAAGCCATATTCCACTTTCAATGTATCAAAATGAAACACGCACGTATTATTAATTAATATAAATTTATAACACGACACACAATCAATCAAAATTAATATCAAAATTATGTAAACTTTTTATCGAAACTTATGTAGAACGTGTTTTTTTATTTATTTTTTTATTTTTTGCAACAACTTTCGAAACGCCAGTTTTAATTCTCCTGCGATTGTACAGAAATTCGATAAAGCGATCATTTTCGCGCTGTTACTCGGGTTTTTTCAAACGAAAAGTGCGAAGCTTTTCTGACGCACCACAGACAACCGGAAGGGTTAAAAAAACTAGGGTGAGATCAACTTCACAGACGGCCCAGTTGCTATTTACACGCGTAAAAGTCAAGAGAGAGAAAGCTAGCACATACGTGTGTAAGGAGAAATTTTTTATTCATTTTTTCGTATGTATATAAGTGTACGTGGGTAATGACCACGCCTCCCTTGTTTCGTTCATGCGATCTTATCAACTGCTCATCGCGCGGCAATTACGCCGCGCCGCTACTACTGCTGCTACTTCTATGGCTGTTAGTCCGTCGTATTATATACAACAAGTGTGTGTGTATGTGTGTGTGTGTGTGTGTGTGTGTGTGTGTGTGTGTGTTTGCTTAACGGAGGAGCTTCCGGATACGTATGTACGTGTATACCTAAGAAAGGTGGAGTTTTATCGGTTGTCATTTTTAAAAACAATGACAAGTTTCATGTTGCACGGACTTGTTATAAAAGAAAGCGTGGCTTTAATGACATTTTCAGTGGGCGGTTATCGTATTGTTGAGCTTTCAACATGCGTTTCCGAAGAGACCCATAGTCCCGAGAAGGTATATGATGCGAGCGTTGAAATTTATCGTAGCAACCTTGCTCGAGCGTAATCAAATTAAACATGGTCCACGCTTCGTTAAATCATACAGATGACTCCACGCGAGTATCCGCGCGTAATACGTATAATAAAATAATAATAAAGCATATGGTTGCGGAAAGCAAATTGAGCAATACCTCGGCAATTACAATAAATAAGTCGCGGTCTTCGAGAGGCACACACACATTATCCGTTTGAACAAACAAGTTCAATGCTGGGCGCGCAAAAAGACGTACGCCCGTATGCGTAGTGAAACTTTTTACGAGACTTTGACAAGGCCTCGCTGTTTGTAATTAAGCGAAATAAAGAACGAGACCGAGCGAATCGAGCGCAGACTTTTTGTCGCGGAATTCATCGGCTGCCTATTTCTATGATAAAATTTTCAGACGAATACATCTTTGTAGAGGACAGTAACACACGGAAGGCACGGTGAAAAATAACGTCAAAATGCACGCGCAAAGAACCAGGAGGTTTGATAACAGGAAAATATGCCCCGTGCTTGATGCGTAGAACCTAAAAGCTTCATATGAATGTATTTATGAAGCACCGAAAAGCAATTAATTTTTTCATTTGGCGAGGATGAAGCCATTGGCTGCCACCAGTAATAAAACGCCCCAACGCAGTGCACAAATGCCTCGATATCGGTATACAAATGAGCATAAAGTGTGCATAAAAGACGCGAGACGCTCGTAAAAAGATTTATAGAATCTTCGCCATAGACGAAGGAGCAGTACAAAGTCGCGCGTGCCGAGCTGCATTAATTCAGCTTATAGAACGCGTTCGTTATTATTTTATGCGGTCGCGGCGACGAGGCTCGATCGGTGTGTCCATGCACATACGCGGCTTTATCTTTTTGGCGCATTTGCATAGACGACAGCGAATCGGAAAAAAGGCGGCTTGCTACTGCCTGCAGCAGCACTCGAGATAGCGAGCCATATCTGTCGCATTAACGAAGCCGCGCGAGCAACGCACGAATGCACATAAATAAATATTTCGAAAGCGAGGCTCGTTTCCCGAAAAGCGTTTCGAAAACGGCGTTCGCAACAGAGCTCGTCCAGTTGGCAGTGCTACACTTGCGAGCGCACGGAAAAGAACCTCCCATAGTTAACGCTTAATCATGGCTTTATACGCGCGCGCAAAGTCAGCGACGGGCGATCTTATCGGGTATCGTATACCCACACACACACACGTGTTTGTCTTTGCGCACACGCTGCAGGAGCGCAGCAGCAGCGTTTACATTTAAAGAACCTGCAGGCGCAACGGCATTAGGTGTCGTGTTCGTTATCGCGCTTGTACTTTTCGTCGAGATAATGAGATAGTTAACGCGCGCCCGAGCCCGTGCTAGCTCCGATCTCCCCGGCCTCTGTGAGAGAATCTCTCTTTCTCTCCGTTACCCTATACGCGGATATGATTTCATTTTCTACGCCAGCACGCCAGCACGTCGCACTTTTTCGCGGAGAAAACTCATTGAGCAAAAGCTACCCCGATATTACGCCGCAGAAATTTTGCCTTTCACCCGAGTTTTATATTTGATACGTTGTGTTATCGACCGAAACTATTGCATTCTTCTCTACCTCTTTTGGGCACTAAATAGATCGATTCTCTTGACAAAAAATATATCGTATCGTCGTGTACTAGCATCGTAGGCATGCTGTATGTAGAACAGCCAAGGAGCAACAACAACAACACAAGCCATCGAATAAAGTGCTAAGCCAACAAGAAGAGATTACGGCATCGAACAACACGATCAACAAGTTGAATGAATATATATGTACGTAGGTATGTATATTGCGCTGCCTCGACCGACTGCCAGCGTCTCTGCGCCTGCTAACGTACCTCTGCCTATAAGCCGTATCCGTAATTCAAATCTGTAAAGGCAGCTTACTACACGCTTTTATATACCTACACATCCCTGCAGATACATCTTTTTTCCCCTTCCTGCACTTCTCCTTTTACGCGAGCCCATTTATGTACGCGTGCATGTGTAAGTCCGCATACGTATATATTTGTTTATACACATATACATAAAATATGAATTATTCATCCAAGTCGTCAGTCGCATAAAGCACGGCAAAGAAAGGAGAGTAAGATGTGGCGGGTTTATACGCGCGATCAGCTAAAATACGAGAACGAGATCATATTCGAACTAAATATGAACCTCGCGAGGAGACGGAGTTCTCTTGCAATTCAATATCTATAATCGTAAAAGGTTTGGCTTATCTGCGTCCTCGAGTTGCCAGTCCGTAATTTTTTACTCATCGTGTCTCCTGCTTCGCAACTAGTCGTACGTCTTGCTATCTGTATTCAACTTGGAATGTGCTCAACTTTTTCCTAGTACGTAATATTAATACGACTAAATAAGATGTAGATATTCTCATGAAAAATTCGAAACTAATACTGCTTTAGATACGCCATCAATTTTCTTGAATGTCTGTTTAATCATTCGTTAGCTGCAATACCACGATCATTCGGTTTAAAACCTAACAATACATAGCGAGTTTAATTTAAACAGACTATTTTTTATTATAAAATGCTACAACAAGCAAATTCTCTTTAACACATGATTAAGAAAATTCACTTGCAACGACGGTTGTAATAAAGTTGATCACGTCACGTTTGGCAGAGAGACATTTTCATAACGCCGCTCATGTCCGAGAAATTTATTTTTGGATTGTATTATTCGGGATAGCGCGAACGCAGTCCCGGCTAACAAAAATTATACGCCCGAGATATCCACATTAGGGATATTCGCAAGGGTCAACCCAATCGTAGTGCAATGAGAGGGTCTCGCCCTGGAGGAACCGCCTTGTTGATCACGGTAGCCTCTGCGCCAGGTAAGTATGCTTTAGCCAGCTAGCGAGCCCCTACTTCAATGCTGAACTTTACTTTTTCTCTTGCGGGTTTCAAAGAGCAGCATACCTAAGACGTAGACGAATTTCGGAAGGGACGCGCAGCGGCAGATGAGAGAACTACGTGATCAGCAGACGAATACACCCGACTCGAGCCGCTATACTGCGCGTTCGATGTGGACAGATAATACACATCGAGCGAACGCTGTACGTAGTAAACGAATATATTGTTGAGCTAACTGACTTCAGTGTTTATAGATTTTTGCTGCGAATAACATTGATGAAAAGAAAATATTTACAACGATTGTAATTAGATATTAACTATGATGGACCTCAAAGTTCTTGATTTTGAAGGCTAATTTAACGAAATTAGTTACACAATTATGTACACGTATTTGAACTGAGCAGATTTGTTAGAAACTATAATTATGGAAACTAAAAATTTTTTCCTTTTTGGTCAAGCTGCTAAAAACCGAAAACCCTGAATGTATCGTAACTTTGAGAGGATGGCAAAGCCAACCCGAAAATCAAATGTTCAATACCATTTTCTAAAATATTTATTGAATAATTATTCAAAAGGCTTTATTGTTCCCTAAAAAACATCAAACTGAGACTCGCCGTATAGATTTTTAACGAAAATATATTCAACAAAACTTTTATAAAACTGAATCGAAAATTTGATTTCTAGATTGCCCTCGCAATATTTGTCAGCATGTTCTCGACCCTAACCTACGGTCAGATTCAATTATTTTTGGATTGATTTATCGGGTTAGCGCGAACGCAGACCCGGCTAACAAAAATTATACGCCCGAGATATCCACATTAGGGATATTCACAGAGGTCAACCCAACCGTAGTGCAATGGATGGGCCTCGCCCTGGAGGAACCGCCTTGTTGATCACGGTAGCCTCTGCGCCAGGTAAGTATGCTTAGGCCAGCTAGCGAGCCTGTACTTCTATACTCAACCTTACTTTTTCTTTAGCGAGTTTGAAAATTCCCATACCGCTAGCATGATCTATTTTGAAATTTGCCCTCTAGATGTTACTCCAAGAACTGGACGAAAATTTCGTAAACCCCCACTACCCCTACTTTTTTGGAGAGCACAAGGCGCTTCAATACAAAGATCAAAATAAATCATTAATCTTCTTATATGATGTATAAATACTTTTTTGATGTCATTACTCTAGTTCATTAAAAATCTAATTCAAAAACTGAAAGTAGCGAAGAAAAGGAAGATTCGTGAGTTAATCTCGTGAAGCAACTACGATAATTGCTAGTATTAGAATAATTTTTCTCCCCTATTCCTAGAAGCAACTATCATTTAGAAACAAAAATCAAAATCATACTTATGCAAACACAATAATAAATAACCAAAGATAACAATCAAATGCAAGAAGGCATAATATTTTTTATAATTAATGCGATTCCGAGAAGTCGTAGTTGCAGTGTAACATGGTTACAACAGCGATGCTCGCATTATGTATACCACTTAAAATTATCCCTAAATCATTGGGCAGTCAACGTACAATTTAGCACGTCAAGCATCTCCTTGCAGCTTTGCGTGCGTAAAATTTTCTCGTTAAAAAAAACCAAGTTACACGCTCGTAGGATAAAGCTGTATGAGCTGTATAATGCACGCGGCGCGAGGGCTTGTTTGCGTATGTATGCACAGTTAATGTAGTCACGTTTTTCAAAATTGCCCAATGGCAACTTTTTAATATGTTAACGAGACAGTACGACCAAGTTATTATCAACCCCGTTCATTAATTTTTCGTAACTTATTAAACGCTTTAAATTATGGTAAAATTATATACAGTTTTAATAGCTACAAGTTTTTATCAATTACACCTCAAGTTGTCTTGGTAATAATAACGATTGCTAAAAAAATATGTACTTACTTGGAAAGGTGAGCTTTGGTTTTTGGATTCTCCGATAAAGAGTCCAGGATCTTTGCCGAGGTGCCATTGATCTTGTGCGTAAATCGAATTGATCTTCATGCCAGCTCGATTTCCTTTGGGTTGTGCTATTAAGGCTTTACCGTCGAACGAACTTTCCTGCGAATGGTTGTTAAACCTGGGCAGTGTACCCGCGCTTTCGCCGCTACTACTGCAGCTCACTGTAAAAATCGATGAAAAGTTGCATCGGGCAATTTTTTTTCATTTAGTAAAATTTGAAATGATTTAAAAGCTACAAGCGCAGTATACGCACCCAAGTGACTGCCGCAATCGTTGCTGTTGCATCCGATCGCGTAGACGACACCGGGACCGAGATAATCGGGATGTGGCAAACCGTAAGCGCTCGGATCTAGACCATAAATTGTCTGTTCTCCGTAGATTTGCTGCTGCTGCTGATGCTGGAGCTTCTGCGGCGTTTGCATGTTTAACTGCAGTGGCATTTGCGAGTGTCGATGATTGTCGCTCGGCGAAACTCGACTTTTGCAATGTCTGCAGTCCTTTTTGGGCCTCCTATTGTTACGCTGCTGCCTGTCACTAGCTGCGCTGTCGGTTTCGCTGTGCGGCCGACAATCTCTGTGTACGCGCAGGATTAAAAATTAGAAATTAAATCACTTCTTACGAAGATTCGCCTCAATTGCTGATCGATTCGATCAGGTACAATCAATAAGTCTGACGGACGCGCACCGGAATCTGAGATTAATATCGGAAAGTATGTTGGCTTCCAGGTAATACCACTAATAAGCGATCGATCATAAGCGCGGCGCGTCTAATCTAATCCGCGAGGCAATGTCGCAATTATCGTACTCACTCTAGCGTGTCGTCCCTATTTATTCTGTCGACGATCAAAGTCCTCTCCCGGCTGGTGACTCTGACCGAGGAGGCCAGTTTGTCGAGGGACTCGCAGCTCTTGTTGTTGCGCAACGGCAGGGTGAGATTGCGCTGAAAGCTGGCGCTCGTCGCGTAAGGATGCACGATGTCCTCGTACAGGTGATGCGACTCGGACGGCATCTGATGTGGCTGCTGATTGTGATAGGCCCCGCTGTTGTAGGACTGCTGCAGCAGTCGAAAATCCATCGAGTTGTCCTGCATGTGTAACTGCTGTTGATTCGGGTAGACATGCTGCTGCTGCAGCTGCTGCTGTTGAAGATTCGCTTGTTGTTGGTGGTATTGCATTTGCGCCTGATGAAGCCGTCTTTGCTCATCGTCAAAGGCGCGGTTCTCCATCTGGAAAAATCACCAATTTTCGCCCCGACATTAGTATTTGCATTTTATCGATTCGAACGATCGCGATAAATTTTGCCACGCCGCGATTTCTACGTCTCCGGGGCCTTATCGAGAGCAGCACGTGTACAAAAGGTCTCGTTTGACACTTTGTAAGTTGTGCACGCCGCGGGTAAACCTATCAATTAGTCCAGTTGGGCGCTTGGTAAGCAGCCGCCAACGTATTGGAGCGCGAGAGTTTCGTAACGCCCGGCCCCAACGTGATAGATCGCCGCCGGTCTGATTTTATGTTATCTGCGCGCCTAACTTCGCTTAGTTAATATATACAGATCGATGCAAAAAAGGTCCTCATTAAATTTATTTTTGCATATATAGTTTCATACCTCGCATGCATTCTATCGGTCGCGGAGAAATAAATTATGCGCCTTCACTGGTATAAAGTACAAACAGCACAAGTATACCGTGGCTGTCTTTCAGAAACATACTTATGCGCTGGATTTATTTACGATGATTGCTGCAGTTTATGCACTCGAGAAAATACCCCGAGATCGTCTCTGCGCTCGTGAAATATATCAGCCTCGAGGTAAGCGAAACTTTTCATCGAGAGTTTGGAAAAATTCCTACGTAATGGCTTAATCGATAACAATAAACTTCCTCTAATAAAATTATAACGACGAGCGAAATAATAATAGAAATATGAAAAATAATAAAACTACACCGAGTCCCGAAGCGTCGAAGAAAGTATTTAATGAAATAAAACCCCCTAAAGGGGATTTTACCTGTTGCGAGCTCGTATACGCATGCTTCGGTGAGCGTAAGACGCGATGGGGCCACCACTCGAGAGATGAAATTCGCACAAGCCTACGCGGTGGTTTCATATAAATGTGAATTTCGGACGACGAAGATATTATACTGAGAGGATTTGGCTTATATAAGGATTATTACAACGCGAGACGTATCGTGCTATTCCAAGCTTGATAATTGAATCTGAAGTTCCTTTGGATCGGTGCAGATAAAAAAGCGAAAAAAATCGTTGACAATTGCGAGGGGGTAATTTCATCGGCGAATAATTTATTTCAAAATCAATATCCTCGTCGACAGGATAACTATTATTTTTCCTATTACTTGGCCACGCGAGCTATAAAAGCCCACGGACATTCTAGATACGTTCACTCGGGCAAGTAATAAAAAGTACCCGAGAGATAATTCATTATTGCGTCTCATAGTATCTCATCATTATTCTTTCCTTTTTTGTATCAGAGAGCAAGTTCAAGGTCGGTTACTAGTAAAAGTACCCCATACTGCAAGGCTAGTTATAAGTTAAGCTTACTAAATTATTACTCTTCGCGATGTGTGTACGGGCGCGTGGCTCGGCGCAGGTTAACAAGTTAATTATCCTCGTTTTCTCGTCGGAACAATTTTATAAAATTTTCATTGGACTTTATATGAAAATTGCAGGCCTTACGAGCTCGCTCCACGCCTGCGCGCCTTATTTATTTTCGACTTTTTCAATGCTGAATAAGATGTAAATTATCGGAAAGTACACGGCATGTCTTGGGTTTAATTGCGCGCGCGCGCGCGGGGCTGTCGTCGATTTTCATTATATATTTCATCGCCGCGTACAGAGTCGGGCGCGTATAAATCAAATTATCGTCCGTTTCCCCTTATCTGGCAAAGTGCAAGACGCGCGCAACAAAACCGGACGTGAAATTAGCCGTCGCCTATCCTCGAGGCTCTAAAATAATTCCTTAGCGACGACGCGCCAAAACGAGGCGAACTAGCCTAATTATCGTCATTTTTTGTCAGCTCTCGCATCCTCGCCAATCGCCAATATGTTCTCCGCAAGGTTCCTCGCTTGGATATAACATAACGAGTGCTACTCGCGAACGGAAACGACTGTATAACTCGTTAGTCTTTGGCCAGATAAATCATCGTCGGCTCGGCATTTTCGGCGAATCGAATATATTATATGCCGGCGGTCAATTTGTTTTTGTCTTATTTTTCATGCTCGAGGCAATTTTTCAAGCATCAAATTGTGTATCGGACTTTCTAAATGAGATGAATGTACTGGGTATGCATATTAAAGCGAGGAAAAATCGCGCTGCCTGCACCCACACACGCGTCGCCAACTCGCCGATTGGGCTGAAAATCGCACCGAGACGTATTCTATAATTATACGAAGCCCGTGCAACTGCTCCTCCTCAGTGACATAGAGATATTGCTGCTGCTGCTGCTGCTTCTTCAGATCATTATCGATTGGGAATAGTCCATCTCGAAAAAAGTGAAAAAATATTCACGCACCAAGTGCGACGAAACGGAAGACGTTGAATGGAGATGACAGTAGGAGGCAACACACACGAGACAAGGGCATAAGCAGGCGGTCGCGCGACGCTCCGCGCGCTTTGAAACTCGAGATTGTATCTTTGAGCGCATTTTCGACTGGCAGAAAGAGAGAAAACGATGGATGTAAGTAAGAAGCTCCGTTCGGTCCTTTTTTTCTCCTGTCTCGCCTCAAGTGCATATGAATGTCGAATAATATCCCTTTTAAATTTCTATTGCGCATAAAAAAGATGATTGATAAAGCGCATATTGCATATATTAATCTATCAATCAGCAATGGAAAGAGACGCGAGTCTAAATATAAATTATGGGAAATAATTTTTTTCCAACGACCCTTTGAGAAATATGGAGCCCCGATCCATTAGCTATACTCGGATGGCATGGCGCTCGGTATCGATGCTTAATTACATCGCAATCGCATCATCCGGCGAAACGAGAAAAATATCTGTTACAGTTAGATCAAGTAGATGTTGTACCAGTCTGTCAGTGAGCGGCGTGATAAATGCGCCAAGCGAGAGGATAATTAGGACTCCATTCGGATCCTTTATCATTGCTCATCTAGCTGCTACTCGATACGACAATGAGTCGCTTTATTGTGGGGCCCGAGCACACAGCAGCGAGCGCGCGAAATGGAACACGCGGGCAAAACGAGTGTATCGCGAAGTAGAATAATAATGGCGAGCCGCGTGCACATACTCGCGCGCGCGCCTAGATTATAAGCTTAGCATTTTCATTTACCGTTGGGAAATTTTTGCTATAATCCACGTGTCTAAGGCCAGAACGCATTATGCAAATGATACATAACTTTAACTCGCGCGCGGGTTTTATCCGTAAGACTAATTAAAAGCAAGCCTCCTAGGAAAGAACATCTCTCGCGTACGTATGACATATTAAACGTTGTGTCAGTCTAGATCAATGTTAAGACGCGCGCGCGCGCGACGTCCTTCACGTATGTATCTACTTTTCAGAATTAATCGCGCACGCTGTACAGCACAGGCGACGAGCCTAACTTGTTTTTTCTAATGCCAGCGTCAAATCGGCATACGCAGAGATCTTTGGCTGATAATAATTCCTCAAGTATACGAGCGTGATCGATCAATCGCCCGAATAGTGGACATGACGTTTTTTTCTTGCGATATAAATATTAATACTCGGGTAAGAGAGCTGCAAAAGTCGCGTCGCAACAGAGAAATTTCAATGGCCCTAGCGTGTATACATGTGTTTTTCTCACGAGCGGCGGCGGCGTCGGCCACCAAGTAACAAACTTGACATTCCGCTGCCAAAAAAAGCACGTTATACATGCTCATCAAGCGTGAGTTACAACAATGGACTTCCTTAGACATCCAGAGAGTCCGAAAATCGTTGCGAGGCCTATCGCACCTTTGTACACGATGCGTGCACGCGATGATATATAATCAAAATATAATTAAGCTTTGCACATACATATATAAAGAAAGAGAGAACGTTAGTTTTTTTCGATTAAGCTCGGTAATGACGCCGAGTTCATTTTCGAATGGCTTCGCTTCTGCTTTGACTAACGAGATACGCATGTGTGGCAAGGTCGTTTTTATTGCACACTTACGCGGGGATAATCGTATCTTCGGCAACTACTCGACAGTACGAAATGTTTAACGTTCCGCTAAATTAAAAGGCACGATGTGGGAGAAAAAATTCATGATGCGTAACTTTTTACATAGACTTTCATCCAGCTCATCTCATCGTGAAGCAATTATTCACGATTGGCCAATTCATAACAATTATTCTTTAGAAATTATACATCTAATATGGCAACGAATAGATGACAATTAAAATTTTACCGCTGCGGCTACGTAGCCTTACTTTTCACTTTTATTCGCGATAATTTAACAGAAGAACGCGCGAGATGATCGCGCAATGATTTCACGTTGCGCGCGGGGCTTTGAAATTTTCAATTAATTTTTCTCGTCGACGCAGAGCGGAAAAATTTCAATGAACCAGTGAAAAATCAAGATAGCGCGATATTTTTCAGGCTTTTCGCGCGCACAGTAAATTTATCACAGCTCGAGGAAAGAGAGAGAGAGAGAGAAGTAACGGCGATCGGGCGTACGATTAAAGTGTAATTTTTTCTTTAATCTCCTCTCATGTATATATACGGTCGCGCCGATTTCGTTCGATTGAGAACGTGACCGGTCGCTACCGTTAAAATGCACGCGGCGGTACGCCGCACCTGTGAGTCTGTGTATCTCTCGCTGGCGGCACATTTTATTTTATCCAAGGCAAGACTCGGTTTTTTCTCGCTCTATCTCTTTCTCTCTCTTTCTCTTCTCTCTCTCTCTCTTACTGCAATGCGCTCGTGAGCGACCTTCTTAAGCTTTGAATTGAAAAATGACTAGATACTTTTCAACATCGGCGGGATATCGTATTTCAAGACCCGGTACATTCAAAAAGGCGCGTAAACAATTATCGACGATTGTACTCGAGTGGCGCGCGTACACATACATCAACTCAATTAAAGAAACTCGCCGAGTGACGTACTTGGAGAGAGGGACGAATGAATCTCACGGCAAATACTGCCACGACAAATGTACTCGACGCGTATAAAACAATCCGGCGATTCACAAAGGCAAACAGTTCTTCAATTATCTCTCAAGAGATAAAGAGATACATAGGGAAAGAGAGAGGGA